ACAAAATTATAATACCCTCTGCAAGGGTATAAAAAGGACTTTGGCGAAGTTTTGAAGAAAGAAGGCTGCCTAATTGTTTGACAGGACAACTTGTAAAGCGGAAAGTTGTACTTTGAAATGCGACAGGGCCACAATGACAGGCAACAACAAGTTGCAATTGTCACTTTTGTTGAAACTTTCGCGAAATTCACAAAGTGTGTGGAAATGTTCTTTTTTACTTAAGTTGTTCCTCCTGCTTTTTTATTTGCAAAAGTCATGCTCCTGCAAATAAATTATAAAAATGTCCGCGGAAAATTATGTTTTCCAAAGCGAAAGAGAAATGTCAGCACCGGATGGAGGGGATTTCGATACGGCTCTCTCACCCCCCGCCCATTCCCGCTCCATTATAAATGATCGCAATTGAAAGTTTAACCCCATCCAGAAGAAGAGGGGGACTAGTTGAAAAATTGACATTATTTTCGTTACGTCTGGTGGCAACAACGAACGGTCAGCGAACGATAAATAAGCGGCAACTTAAGTCGAGTATTTATTTTTCGGGCATCGCTTGATAAATGACTTTGACCTGGCCCGAAAGTGCAAGCCAAACGAAAGCCGAAGGACCTCCACTGCCACTGCCACCGCCACCGCTACAGGCAATGCCACGCCCCCAATGACTTTTCTCATTAAGCTTGGCCAAGGCGAATGTGGTCGAGAAGAAATCAAACTAAAGTTTCGCACAAAATTCTCGGGTCAAAGGGCCCCAGGGAGCAGGGAGAACATGTGTAAAGCGTCGAGCGGTTAAAGCTAAACAAACAATTGCCAAATGCAATCGGGGAGGGATGCCTCACCCAGTGGCATGAGGGAGTGGGCTGTGATGGCGACTTGGATAGTCGAGAACAGTTGCATGTTGGCGAATGGCAGGAAGAAGTTTGCCAACCGCATGCTTCAACTTCAATTTGCTGGAAGGATTCAAAGGGGAAGGAAGTGAACAGAATAGAGCTGAACTGAACAGAACAGGATGGGGAACAGGAACAGGGATCGCTGCTTACAGTTTGACTCGTATTTCATTACTCGAACTGGTATTAAGTGGCAAACTTTTGTATTTAACAACTTTTAGCAGCCGAGCAGCAAAAATGAAGAAGATGAACCGACCAAAGTTTGCAGCGCAAAACCAACAAAAAAAAATTGAAACGTTTCAACGAAGAACAAAAAAGTGAAATGCAGTCACTTGACTTGACTGCAATTTCCTAGAAGTACACTAAAAGAAAAGTCTATATAAAAAAAATATATTGTTATTCGTGAGTCCTAGAACAGAAAATCTATTCTGATTAAGTTTCACAAAAAGCAACTTCCCTTAAATGGCAAATAAATGGCAGCAGTTTGGCCAAAACTTCGTTCCCAAAAAGGTAATAATAAAGACATTAAAATATCCCCTAAAATTGGAACAACATTTTGCACTTTGCGATTCTCTTTAACAGCCGCAGAAGTTGCATCCTTAGACCGAAAAATCTGTCACATAAAAGTTTGATTGCCACGCCCCCGCCGACGAGCCCGCCATCAACCCCCGGGCACTGAAGGCTTGACTTTGCAGTGCATTAATTAGCAAATGCAGTAAGGGGAGGGGAACTTTCGGGAACTACCGCGAAATGCATGCAACTATGTTGCAACTCGCAAGCCCCGCGCATAAACTTCAAGTTGAAGTGCCACATAAATTGAGTGCGCCGCACAAGTGCCCATCTGCATATGCAACAATGTGTCATTGTATTGTAATTTCCACATGCATAATTATCCTGGCAATTTCTGATCATCAGCAGAACAGGTGCCGCACCCGTTCTCCGGCCAAGTCTTGCGAGGTAGCGTGGGCGGCAAAGTTTTTCATACGTTCTGGGTCTCTGCTCTGAATGGGAATGAAAAGGCAAGCTCCACTTGCTGGCCGTAGTTGGCTCCTGGCCAAAACCGGGCCTGCACTTTGGCTAAATTACACTTTCAATTTGTCAGCTGGCATGGCCCTGCAGGCCATTAAATGGCAAATTAAGTTCAGCAACGGCTCCTATTTTGTTTGCTCTGCAATCTTTGCATTTTTCTTTCTCTGCCCCAGACTGGGGCTCAGTTTTCAGAGCAAATGTGTTTTTGATACGTGTTTCATTGTCTGACGATCTTGGCGCATTATCATGGCAGATTTTCGGCTCTGGCTATCAGGAACATGTTGAATATTTCATGAGAGTCATAAATCTCCTTCCGCCCGGACCAGGGAAGGAGTGTGCAGCTCGGGAAGTTAAGTCAGGCGCTTACGCGGTCTTCAGTTTTGCCGGCTTTTTATTTTTAATAACTTTCCATTGTGGCTGCCAGAGGCACCCACACAGCCACACACACGCAGCTGAAACCCAAATACACACACGTGGAAATGCCAGGACTTGGGCCAGGACATGTCAACGGCTGGGATGCTTGTTGCTTTTGTTGTTTCTCCTTCAAGCTGCTTTATAATTTATGATGCTTGGCATCGAAGACTCCTCCACATCCTCCGCCTGCCACTCCCACACACATGTCGCCAACTTTTGTATAATTTTTCCAAAAAAAAGGAACTGCATGAATATTAACTGCAAGTGGCAGAATATGGCGGCAGCTTCCCTCCCTCATCCCAGAGCTGTCCCATCTTGGCTGCCACTTTTATTGTGTGTGAGCCTGGGCCAAAACTTTCAAGTGCCAGCTTGTTCCGGAAGGGGCGACCACGCCCACCTACTAACTTATGCATACGTGTGGCTTAGTCCCTGCTTCCTCTGGCTTCTAGATTTCCTAGTGATTTTGTCAGTTGGTTTTTTTTCTGGCCAGGTTTAACATACATATTTGATGCAAATGTTCGCAAATTGTCGTCGCTGTCTATTGGACATTTTGTGGCCACATTTAGTTTCTGCCACACATCAAAGGATATGTGGGAAACACTTGAAAGTAAACAGTTTGTGGGTCTCTCAAACTGTGTCCTGCATAAGGATTATTGAGATGATAAAATCGCAAATGTATTCTCCTGAATATTATTATAAATATTAAATCTGTAAAGCGACTTTTCTTTAAAGAATGCATGAAACTCAAGTATTGCTCCTGCATGACGGCATGTGGGGTGCAGGTGGCACTCTCGTAAGGATCATGGATAATTTGCTTAAGCTCAGCAAGCAGAAAATAACGTTTTGCACACAACCTAGCACGCACAATAGCTCCGGAGGCGGGATGGGGACCCATGGAATTGTCCGTCCTGACTCCTGGCTCCGGTGGCTCCTGCCATTCGTGTCCTTTGTCTGCCCTGGCTTATCACTTGGCCAAAAAAGCGAAGGGACAAAGATGAGAAAGCTGGCTAGGTAGCCAGGCTCCCGAGCTCCTGGATTCCCGCCACTACTGCCACTGTCAGGCGGGTGACATGGCAGCTGTGCTTTAAACAAAGCTAAGCTCGGGCAAAAACAACATGACTAATAGTTTTGACAGAACCAGGCAAAACAAAAGCCAGACAGCATGTCAGATAAAAGCGAAATGACTGAGAGGGCCGAGAGGGCCAAGAGCGGGGCCAAAAAAGCGAAACTGCATGCTAAATGTTGTCAATTAGTTGAACGGAACGACCGAGATGATGACCGCCGGATGACACTCAAAAAAAGAAGTTGACCAGCTCGGGGCAATGGGGCGAATGGGTAATGCGGGATTTGACCAGCGATACATTATATTTAATCACATGACTATGAGGGAGCTCAGAACTTTATCGGTGACTTGCGGAATCGTAGACTTAAAGACCGAACAAATTTTAATACAAAAGCATCAGACAGCCAGACATTTAATTTTCAAACGGAATAGCTGAACCGAACACGTGACTGGCTGATTTTTAATAAGCTGTTTTGCAAAACAAAATTAAATTAACGTATATTTGTTTTATAAATGGCACCGTCCAGCCAAGTTCCATCATAGATAAATCACGTTGAGTTGATTACTGAAGATCGCGGGTTTTCCCAGGAAACTATCATTCAATTCATGGAAAGCTCTTGAATAATTTAAACTCTTCTATTGACAATATAAAAACTGGTATTGAGTTTTGCGTTTAAACTAAAAATAACTGCCAAGTCAAAACTTATAAGCCGATGGAACATTTGTTCCAATTAGTTTTTCCCCTTTGTCCTTAAAAGTTTTTCTTTGAAGTCTTGGTAACTATTTGGGGAAGCCAGGTGAAGGGTGAGCCAAATCCTATATCCTTTTGGCTTTGGGGTCCACATCACAGGCAACTCAACAGTTTGGCTTTGCTATAAAAACACAAAGTCGCAGCCAAGTCGCACTTAAGCTGACTTCTTACCTCGGGTAACACACGCCCTTACCCGCTGAAACAAAGTACAGTAAAAAGTCGCTTTGGAAGAACGCCACACAAATGTCAGAGCGTGAGTCCATAACTGTAAATTTCCTTTGCTTAAGTACAGTGAAAAAAAAGTTACATCTTTGTTATCGTTTAATAAATCTTAAAAATTTTGACACGCCTAAAGTTCCTAAAAGATGTTGCATTTGAAAATTTCTTTCTATGACGGACTGAAGTTTTAAATTATATAAAAGGGCTATAAAATATGTGCCCAGTGTTGGCCCTTTCTGGTGAAAGTTTGGTACAGTAGCCGCTTTTTGCCGGTCATTAGAGTTGGCCCTTAGTGGGTGAAGTTAGAAAATTGGGCGGCCAAGGGCACTGGCAGTGCATCTGTTATGATGGGTGCAGGCAACCACAGCACCCTCCGACGGATATGCAACAATGTGGCCCAAGTTTCCTGCTCCGCCGGGCAGGCACACGGAGGAGCTCTCAGTTGGCATTATGTCCACCGAGCGTGACTAACATGCACATGCTCAACTGTGCTGGAAAGCGTTTTATCCAGCTCACATCTCACCTAAAAGCCCCCATGCCGTCAGCCCCGTTTTCCTGAAAGGTTGAAAAGATTGTGTTTGTTTTTTGCCGGTCACCAACTTGAATTTTGATTTTTTTCTCCGCTTTTTTTGTTGCATCTTGCCATCAGGAGCCGCAACAACATGGCCAAGGACCTGAGCACTCTGGGCTGGGATTATCTGATGTTCGTCCTGTTTATAGCCATCACCGTCTTGGGGCCGCTTTGGAAACGAATTTTCGGCAAAAAAAAGGAGCGCAGCAAGGCCGATTATGTTTTTGCCACCGGCGGTGTTTCGATCGTAGCTGTGATGATTTCTATAGCTCGAGGAACGCTAGGAGTACGATCTGTCTTGGGTAAGCTCTATTATTTTTTTCCTAGCATTTCATTTAATATTACCATTACTATGTAGGTTATCCCAGTGAGCTGTACTATCGAGGTTCTGCCATGTGGGAGATCATCTATGGCATGATGAGTGCCTACCCGATTGTGTGCTTCATGTTCGTGCCCGTCTACTTCAACTTGGGCATCACCTCCGTCTATCAGTACATCGATCTCAGGTGAGTTCAAGACAGAAAACCAGTTCCCACGCAGTCGGGAAGGAGAAAGTCAGTCCCTCGAGCGCCGCATCGTTTAATTAGCAAGAAACGAAGAGGCAACAGGGAAATTGTTATTTAAACATTCATTTTAATTTCGCCAAATGAGTCGTTGTGTCGCTGCTCCTGCTTCCCTTATCGCCGAAGCGCACACAATTTTATTCTTCATTAAGGAGGCCAAATGAAACTAAGCAGGACACAGCCAGGATCCAGCTCAGGTTTACGTTCTGTTTCTGATGTTGATGCTGACTCTGTCCGTGGCACAACTTGTGCCGCGTTGCTAAATAAATTTGAATTATATTAAAAAAAACAGCAGAATCAACAACAAATGGCAAAACAAAAGCAGAGCCGGCAGAGCACATAATCTATAGATTCGTCCTTGCCGCGCCTGGGCCAAGACTTGGACTTTGCCACGGATGCTATCGCCCAGTTGTCGTCAGTTCCGCCACATCTCCTACGCCACTGCCTCTCCATCTGTCGCAAGTTGTCGCCTCGTGGGCCTAATTGTTTTTTAAGTTCGAAATTAGTTAACAAATTTGTTATCAAATGTTTTGCAGTTTCGACAACAGAATTCAATTAATTGCAAAAACTGACAAGACAAACAGAGCGGCGGGTGCGGCCTGAGCATAATTTGATTGAAATTTAATTGGCATGTGCCGTCCGTTGACAACATTTTTTGGCTGAGAAGGGCGGGCAGAGTAGCGAAGTGAAAGCTGTGCAGAATCGACAAATTATTTAAATGTTTTCCTAGGGCAAAACTGGGGTAATTTGTAAATTAGCATAAAACCTAGTAAAACACACGAAGGACTTAACTGGCGTCGAAGTAATATTAATGACAAAATCGATGACTAATGCATGTTTAGTTTCTTTTTACAATGAGTAGTTAAACTCAATTAATCCTGGCAGAGCAATGATTAATGGAGCAATAGCTAAAGAGTTTAATAAATTAAATAAAACAATTGCCCATTTTAATAAAGTAATTTTTTATAAAATATATCATAATTTTGATGCGAGGCTTTAACACTCAACCTAATTGGCCAGCCAACGAGACAAGCAACTTCATCAATCCTTGTCAATTGGCAAAGTCCTTCGGCGAAAGTAAGGCCTGGTAAAAAGAGATCCATCCAAGCCAAGAAAAAAGGGTTGAGAAGTCGCAACATGGCCAAATGTTGCCCCAAAAAGTTGCGAGCACAGCATTTGGATGCCTCATTGTCGCTTGTCATCGCAACTGGCGCCCCGCGACATGTTTATGCATACAACTTCATCAAAATAGGCCGAACTTCTGATGGGCAAGGTTAGGGAAGGGGGATTGGGGTCTAGGTCACACACAGAGGCCGATAAGTGAATATGCTACAAATTGCCAAAAGCCACTTGGCCAACGAGCAGGCAGGCCGAATGGAGAAACGTTCGCCACCCACTCCAGATGGAGGAAAAGACAAAAGCCTTGACGTAGGCAGCACGATGACAATGCCCAAAAAAAATAAGAGTGGAGTGAAGCAACTAAAGGACATCCAGTACTCTGATATAAGAAAAGGACATGTCGACTAATAATGCTTTTCCAAGCTCTGACTTGTACATTGCAAGGCTTAAAATAATTTTAAGGGAAACAAACTCCTTTGCGTTGCCTCCACACATATCCTTTTACACTTTAAAACTAAGGGGTATGAAAACCAAAGTCGAAAAAGCAAAAGAAATCCAAAAGGAGCCAACAACAAAGCAGCCACTTGGTCTGAGGCTGTTGACAAATTGTATGACAATTCGTTTGTGCAATAATGTTTATAAATAGCGCGTGTTGTTGCCTGTCACTAACATCAGGCATCAAGGATCAAGCATCAGGCACGAAGCTCCTCCCCGAAAAACTTGCGAAACAAAAAACCCAAGACATCCATCCCCACACACTGTCGCACAACCAAACACCCACAAGCCACACACATACATGCCCTTCCAAAGTCATGGATTCTCTCACTTGTCAGTCGGCTGTCGCAAGTGATGTCTGCCACTCAAATCGGGGGCGGATAGGATGGCTCGGGATGGGGCGACCCTTGACTCGCTGCCAACTCAAGTGTTGCCCGGCTCTCACACAGATTTCCTATCTGGCTGTCCGCCCATCGAGTTCAATGGTCAAGCAAAGTTCGGCTTTGTTCCTACGGCATAATTCTATCCATTGTGTGCTGGGGGCTGGATGGGCTGGTGGCTGAAGTCTGGGGTGGCAATTACATGTAAATAAATTGATATCAACCTTGTGTACGCCAGGGCAGCGGCAGAGATCAATGCGAACAGTTGTTAGCACTTAGCAAATGGAAAAAATGCATTTGGGCTTCCTCCTCCTGGTTTATTTACGAGTACAAGGAGCCAACAAAGTGCCAGGGAATGAAAAAATAACTCGACAGCAGGTGGAGATGATGGAAAGTTAGAGGGGTAGAGTGGCTGACGGGTCAGCGGGGAAAGGGTAGAGAGCGAGCTTTTTGGGGCGACATGCATACGCATAAATAAAGACGTTTTCGTCGTTGGGCTACAAAGTGAGAGCGTGATTTGCAATTCAAAGACAACAAAGTTGTTTGGGAGTAACACATATGCCACTGGCAGGACCAATGGGAAAGGGCATATCGGCACCAAGCTAACCATGTCATAAAAAGTACTTCTACAAGGGATAATGAGAAAGGTTAAAAGATCACTGAAATATTGGAGGAGAATATTAAGCTAGCCAAAAATCTAACCTTTTTTTTATTGATATTTTCTCTTTAATCTCAACCCATCCTCATATTTATTAGCTTTTCACCTCTGACCGGCAGCCTGTGAGGTAGCTTCCAGTCGTCAAGGTCACAGTATACCTTTTACCTTTGATTTTTTTTTTCTTTGACTTTCTCCCCTTGTCGTTGTGGGCGGCTTTTAACACTGCGATGGCACTCAGCTCGGGACACCAACTTCACACGGCTGATTATGTTTATTTATGCATGGCATTTAATGCAATCAAAAGTGTCGCCCTTTGCACCCGAACCTTTGAGCAGAGATTGGCCTTGATTGTAGAATTAACTCGAAGCGCCCGGGAGGACTGGAGTCCCGGGAGATGGTGTCTAAACGGCGATTATCTGGCCATTGTACAAACCGTCATATTAAATTTGCCATTAATTTATGCCTTTGTCTCCTGCACCCAAAACTGGCTTAGCGGCTTTCCCATGATAAATGATGCATCCAGGCAGTGGGAAATGAGAGATGGTAGGTACGCAGCTACCTACCAGGAGCAGGAGCCTCTGTTCAATTAATGGGGGAAAAGCCTGCTGACCTGCTCATTCTGATTCTCCCCTTCTATCTCTCGCCGGCTCCCTCTTTCTCCAGCTTTCTGGAAACCCATTTTCACACCCTCCAGTGGTCATTGACGCTGTCCTGCAGATTGTGGGCGTGTGGCGAGTGTGCGAGGGGAGCAAGTGTCCTTGCTGGTAATTGCTTACCCGCTGGCATGGTTGCAGCAATTATTGCATACTTTGCGGCACTTACATTTCATTTAAAGTTATTAAGCGACAATCGCATCGCAGGATGTCTTTAATCAACTCAACGAAGTGAATTACGCAGGCAGGCGCAGGCGGTGGCGGATGCGGGGGCAGAGCAAGGACGAGGCAAAGAGGGGGTGTAGGCAAACGGTTAAATCAATTAAACTAAAACAAAAGCCAGGACCGGGACAACGTTCAATCAACTGGACGGCGGTGACAGCCTCCAGGTCATTACTCACACACAGAGCGAAATGAAGTGACAGACAGACAGAAAGAGAGAGAGAGAGCGGGAGAGACAAATCCTTGGGCAGGACAACTGGCCAAGCCAAGCCAAGCCGAGCCGAGCACTTATTGTGATGAACACAATGTTAACAGGCTAAATGAGAAACAAATGCCACAATCAGACAACGTAGAAAAACACTCGCAGGGGCCGAAGAGGCAGCAACAGCAACATCAACGGCAACAACCACAGAAATGAAAGGCAACCGAAAACAATAAATCCCATAAATCATATTAAATTGACATATCAGGCTAAAATTGACCGCAAGCAACAATATGCTCTTCCATGTGGCAGTGTGTGCTTGGTAGTCTGGACTTGTGTTGGGTGATTGTATCCTACAATAATATTTCTTTATCAATTTCCACAACAAGCTCAGCCCTGGGAAAAACAAGAAAAACCTAAGAAAATGCCTAAATAAATGTTTGACCAGCCGAGCAAGCCGCCCAACCAGAATCATCCCACTGCCACGCCCATTCAATCAACACATATTCGATTGTCATACATGTGTCCTTGGCTGTCCGGCCGGGCTTTTATGTGTGCAGGCCTGGCTGTTGTTAAAGGCCTACGGGCTGGCCTCTGCAGGATTTTCAGATTTCCGCAGGGACTTCTCTCTTTCGGGGCCGCAATTAAAATGTGTATCAAGCATACGACACGTTGTCATGTAAACCGCTTTAAGCCCCGACCAACAATGTTAAGTCGATCGGGTAAATATGTTAAGCCTGTCCCACAAACACGCCAATTGATGTTTGCTCACGGCAAGAGTGCAGCACCACCATTAACCTCTTGGTTAATTAATACTCGGTGGTGCAGCATATTGCAGAGAACCCACTTGATAATGAACCTCGCATTAAGGCGATTAAAGAGACAGTCCCCGAGATATCATCCTCCTCGCCGCCTAAATATGCATTTAATTCCCGCTCCAACAACACCTGCGCCTCCTGGAGCCAATCGCTCATTGGCCGAGGAGATAGGGCCCGCTGACAGCCCGCAACACGGCCCAGATCAATATTGGCCAAGGGCAATTAATCATTTAGTGGGCCGACTCACACACATGCAGTGACAGGCATAGACGGAGAAATGTAAAGGACGAGCAGGACGAGGTACTGAGGATAAGGATGAGTGGAGCCGGGCCATGGAAAAGTGGATTATGCAGCCAGATTAGATGTACGACGAGAAATTACTTGGGATTACAACCAGCACAGTGCGTTTCGGGCCCTTAAGGTCATCTATATAGAATTGCATATAACCTTCTTAAATCCTTGAATGAGCTTGAGACTGTCATAATCCTTTAAGTAGAAACTTTCACCTCATATAAAGGGTATAAATTTCACTTAAATCAAGGATAGAGAACTTGATTCCTCAGGATGTTTAAACTATTTTATAGTTTCGAAACGGACTGCAAACCTACCACTGGCCTAAAGCTGGGAACACCAATCAAAGCATTACGGACGTAAAGCAGTTTATTTATTATGGACCCCGGGCACTCTCTCTATGGCAGTGCGTGTGCAAAGGCACTTGAGACTTTCGCCCGGACCCGCACATAACGCATACTAAACGATCATTAGGGGAACCCCCTAAAAAGCCGTGCTCCCCATCTTGTCGCACATTTCGCATCAAATTAACACACAAATTTTTACAGCCCCGAGAAGCACATAAAAAGCTAGGGCCCGCGCCCTGGCTCAACTATAAAAACAATCAAAACGAGTTACAGACCCGCCAATTTTCTTAGGTTTTTCTCCGTCGCCCATGTCGTAAATTTAACCCTCCCAGACCCGATACCACACATAACTTCTTTACAGCGGGTAGTAAGTCATAAAAGAGGTTAAAAATAAAAATAAATTCAGAAATTCTTAGCTCGAGAACGAGCCAGGGCGCCATTAAAAGTTTAATAAAATAAATAAATGGATAGGAGTACGAGTGCAGACGGCAGTCCAAGCAGCTTGATTAAATCCCGCACCTGTAACTCAGCAGCGTTTCCTGTTCTCCGGTCTTTTGCAGGTTCAAGAGCCGCACGGTCAGGTGCCTGGCATCGGCCACCTATATAGTAAGACAGATTTGCAACCTGGGCATCACCGTGTACACACCCAGCGTGGCCCTCTCGACGGTGATTGGGATACCCTACTGGGCCTCCATCGTGGGCATGGCCATCATTTGCATATTCTTCACCATTATGGTAAGTTGCGGCGCATCCGGTTCGGGAATGTCAGCGATTTAACGATGAAAATATTTAAATTCCTTGTGTTTGCCACTCATTAGGGCGGTCTGAAGGCGGCCATCAACGCGGATGTCATCCAGACCCTGACCATTTTGGTTGTCACCGTCGCCGTCTGCATCCAGGGCACCATTTCCACGGGCGGCGTCAAGAAGGTCTACCAACTGAATCGCGACAATGGTAAGCCATCAGTTTTAGTTTGTGGCAAGGATTCGCTTCGATTGATCATAGCAGCTTATTAGCCAGCTGTCAGGATATGTATATCCTGCACGCATACCACATACAGTGTGTGTAGTGCTGACGAATGATGACTATTAAAATGGCATCCATTGTGGGATGCCACTGCGAGCGCCATGTACCTCCTGCCATGCTCCTGCCTTTCCCGTTTCTGTTACTGCGCCGGCTCATTATGCACATAAATGATGATGATAAAAGTGGCATAAAACAGCGGCATCTGAATCCGGGTTGGGCTGGGGGCCGGCGGCTGAGTAGGAAATGGCAGCCTCGCATGACGACAGTAATAAATGTGTGATGGCGGAGCGTTTGTCACTCGGGTTTGAGTTGTTGGCTGTCATTGTACGGCAATCGCCGGGCTCCTGGGAATCCCTCCACCTGCTCCCCCTGCAGCTCAATCTTTACTAGTTGCCATAGGGAGTACATTGCCATTTCGCCTACTTCGCAGGTCGTCTCAACTTCTTCAACTTCACCGGCGACATGACTGTTCGAGTGGATACCACCTCGGCCTGGCTGGGACAGCTGTTTATGTCCCTCTCCCAGATTGGGTGCCAGCAGAACTTCATGCAGCGCTACGTCAGTCTGAAGTCCTTAAAGCAAGTGCGACGGTAAGTGACCTCCCAACTATAATAAAAGCTGGAATATAACCAAGTTTTGACTTTCCAGAGTGATGCTCACCAATGTTCCCCTGGTGTTCTTCTTCTTTTCCCTCTCCTGGCTGTCCGGCATGGTCATCTACTCCACATACATCAACTGCGATCCATATGCGGAAGGCTACATCAAGAAGCCCGATGAGATCCTGCCCTTTTTCGTAGAGGATCAGCTCGGATTCTTGCCCGGCTTTGTCGGAATATTCATGGCCACTCTTTTCAATGGAGCGCTCTGGTAGATCTACATGGAAATAGGTTTTGAAACTCCTAACTAATTTGTACAATCTTTAAAGCATGATGGTCTCCAACCTGAACTCCCTGGCCACTGTTTGTTGGGAGGACTTCATTTCGCAGTTTCCCAGGTTCAAAGGACTCTCCGACAAGCAACAGTTGAGAATCCTCAAGCTAATCACCGTCATCTGTGGACTAATTATCATGTGCGTGGCCTTTGGAGTGGGCCTACTGGCTGGTGTGATTGAATCCTCGCTGCTTGTGTTTTCGGCCACCTCGGGTCCCTTGTTGGGTTGCTTCATATTGGCCATGATGGTGCCAATTGCCAATTGGAAGGGCACCTCTGCCGGTATGATCACCGCCTGCGCCTTTGTCCTGTGGATCATTGGCGGAGGAATGACCGTTGAAAAGTCGAATCCCATGTTGCCCACATCGACGGAGGTAGGAATGGTAATGCTGGTAAAAATTGGATGTATTTTAAGGGGTTTTACTTACAGGGTTGCTCCAACCACAGTTTTTCGGACTCGATTACGAAGCCCTTGATGGAACCTGGACAGATGCCTTGGCTGCTGACTCACACTCCCATCAATGGATACAACCAGAGCTTCGTAGCCTCACCCCCAACAATAGCACCTGAAAGGTAGATACGCATTTTATTAAATTTTTCAATTTTTTAAATTTCTTATTTATTTCTAGATCTGGACTGGAGACCTTCTACTCCATTAGCTTCATGTACTACAGCTTGATCGGCACGGCGCTGACTGTCATCATCGGCACCCTGATCAGCCTGCTGACCCAGCACCCGGATGATGCCTACGATGGCAAGCTTCTCCACCCGCTGATCTTACGTCTGTGCGAGCGTTTCTCTGGCCACAAACCGTACTATCTCAAGCACGAGGAGGAGTCCGGCTTGAATGGGCGTAACAGCAGTGAATCCTCGGCCTCCGGGACGACAACCTCTAAGGAGGAGAAGGTCAACCACGGTTATGAATCCTCGCCAGAGGAGAAGGAAAAGAACAATCCCATTGCGGTGGTTTTCACCACATCAGAAGGAGCAAAGGAGCAGCCATCCATATGCGACAGTAGTCGGATCCAAATCGACACCGTGCCGGGAGAGGGGGAGACGGGCGTATACCGCCAGCTGGCTGGCAGATCTGCGCTCTAAGATCTGTCTTAGCCTGTCCAATTAGTTTGTAGTTCGCTAAGCTAAGACCTAGAATAGATCTATTAGTTAGCCAAGTGTTTTTCAAGTCTATAAAGATGCTGTGATTTTCTGCGCGCGACTATTGTTGAGCAATTTTCGCGCCTGTTGTAGCAATCAAGTTTCATTCGCATGTACTTATCGCATGTGTGTGCGTGACAGTGTGCAATAAATAAAGACAAATAAACGTATTTTTGTACAAATCATACAAAAAGATTACTAATGCCATTTTCGATTTTGCGCGCTTGACAATTTAAAGGTCAGTGCTGCCCATCAGCCAAATAAATGTTCGCTATCGATAACACAATTCTTTTAGAACCAGTTGTACTAAGTCGTGGGAAAAGGTGGAATGTTTTTAATTGTATTGTTTTGGATATTATTTTGTCGCAGAGATTGATTTCAAAGTCTCTATAAAAGATTATTTAAATTCCACAAAAAAATTTGTCTCAAAAATTTATGAAAAATTAATAAGTTTAAAGAAAAATTAAATTCTTTATTTAGCAAGCTTTAGGTTAAACAAGGTCGTAACTATTTGAATATACGAAACATGAGTAATAAATAAATGTTAAATTGTTTTGTTACGTGTAGCCATTCGATAGTTTTGTTGCCGGGCTAGCTGGGCTAGCTCCACTTTTGTCCATCTCTATTATGTGGGGATTTTCATTGTTTAGAGGTGCTGTGTCCAAAATAATGCACAAATAGAACGCAAAAGGCTAAGGCAGAACAAATAAAATATTTGAAATGGCTACGCTTGTAAAGCCAAAAAAGGAGGTGGGTTTGCAAAATAAAAACATTCGCGTACTAAGCCGAATTCCTAAATTGCAGAAGACAAAAAAACAACGTAGCGACAGGCAGATTCCAAAAGAGGAAGAGGAGGAACCTGCTAAGTTATCAACAAGTAACGATGAACAAAGGGAGGAAGAGCAGGAAAATGTATCGCTGCTGGAGGAATTGGAACGGGTGGCCGCTTTGGCTGGCAGCAGCAGTGACGCGAATATAGTTAGCCACGACTGTTGCATCTCCAGCGATGTAAGGGAGCTACCGGAGGAAAGTGCCGCAGAGGAGAAAACAATAGTTGTAACTCAAACGGAAGCCGAACCAAGTGCCCCACCCTCGACCACCAACGTCGTTCCCCACGTTGTGCAGTATCCTAATCTACTACCGATGCATGTATCCAATGCCCAAGTAGAGGAGCAGAGTGCAAAGATTGTATACCGGCAAGCCGAAACTCAAGCCTCGGGTTTTGCCTTGGCCAGAAGCAATGTAAAGCCCCTTTCCGATGAGCAACTGCGTCAAATCTACAACTGCCCCGATCTGGATTTGGCGAAGCAGTTCGAGCTGGAGTTCCTTATGAACTCGCTATTAGAGTCTAGCGAGGCGGATCCCTTGTACGCTGCCCTGCTGGAATATTACGAGCTTCAGGGAAAGATTACATCCAATTTGCACGATGTAAAGAAATGGAGGAAAAACTGCGGAGTATCCCAAAAACAAATTTGGACAAAAGAATCCGTGACTCGAAACTTTAGTGGGACTTGTGGAGATGGAAATGCTGTGCAAGAAAGCGTCACATACGAGTAAGTACAAAACCTTACACTAAGCTGTGCTTTTAATTGCAAAAGTTTGTTTCCAGAATAATAAAGGTTGATCCGGTTAAGCTTGAGTTGGCCAAAACTTCACTGACTAGCCTTTACGACCTGGTCTGTCACACGTACACTAACAACCTGATCACCGCCAAGATAACCAAAGTAAAAGTAGACCAAATTATCAAGGACTTGCTAGTCTATCCCCATGCGGATGCCCAGGGGGAGATTTTCTTGAACAATGCCCAATCTGGAGCGGCCTTGGAGTGCGTTTCGCAGTTGCGAAGAGCCATATCCATACTATTCAGTTTCATCAGACGACCCAGTCCAAATGCGGTAAACTTAAGTCACAAACCCCCTTCGACATTGTGATTAACTCTTTTTAATTTTAGAATTTTGACGCAGACCTTAAGCAGTGGCTCCGCCAACTAATAGCTTTGCAATTACTTCTGGCCACGAGAGAGGACCACTGGTTCTTACTCTTCAATATTTTGCGGTGCCCCAATGGTGTAGGCTCTTGGGCCGCCCAGTTTTTGCAGCTGCCGGGAATGCAAATTGCTCCACGAAGCTCTCAGAAAAATGACCTGCCTTTGGATTTAAACTCCCCAGAACTAAATCACTGCATGGCTGTGCTTCAGATCCTGCTGATGCCGGTGAAGAAGAGAAACGAATATCTAAAGGGTCAGGCCCAAGCGCATCGCGACCTTTCAGAGGCAACAGGTACCACCGAACGATGGATTGTGGTAGACTCTGACGGGGAGGACTCGCATACACCTGCTGGTGAATGCATTGGCTTAAAGGAAAGCGATCTAATTGCTCTGCTTAACCAACTGCCGTTTGAAAAGATTTTTATGTAAGTCGGAATTGATAGTTGCGAAGCTATATTCTTGCACGGATATATTCTAGATCGGCCATGCGTATAGAAAAGTTTCTGGACGACTACATCCTCGAACCGGACATGATCACTGCCCAGAGAATGCTGGCTGTGGTGGTATTCTTTTCGCAGTTAGTCAAGATACTAGGAGAGGGACTGCTGACTTACAACAACGAAAGGTATAAGCAACTAGCCAAAAGATTGGGCCGTTTAGTGCGCCACACCCTCCAGTATATCTTTGACTACAACGAATTGTTTCTGTAAGTATTTTTAAGCCTTTTCTTATAAAATAATTGTATAAAACAAGAACCTCTCGAAACCGCAGAAACAACAGCCGACCCAAATCTAACGAACTCTTCGAAAGGATTCAAGTGGAACTGCAGGCCCTACTTATCCGAGCTTGTGGTTATATTTACCGCACCCGTAATCTGGGCACCTGGCAATACTTCTCCACCCTACCCTTCGGCACTCTGGACACCGAGGTTGTTTGGCATCTGTTCTACTACTTGAACGTGGGCTTCCCCGTCGATTTAGCAAATGATTTGGTCGGCAATGCCGAAGCTGCCTTTCAGTCGGACGAGTTTTGGAACAAATTTGATTTGGCTAACGCAGACGTGGCTCCGGACGACATGTACTATCTGCTGCAGACCTTCTTCGAGATGGCCAACGATCGGAATCGCAGCAAAGACGCCAACTTAGTTAAAGCCATCTGCCTTCACATTTTTCACATTGGCTACATACACCGCTCGACCCGGGAGTTTTGCTATAAGGCGGCGCGCGATATGTTGGTCAACTTGATGGATGAACATCTGATGGGCTGCCTGCTGGTGCAGATAAAGATGCGGTATGGGGAAGTGGACCAGGCTGCTTATCTGTTCAAGGCTCTGCCCCTAGAAAACTGGCATCCCAACATGGACAGCTTTGAGGTTCTTTCCAATTGGCTTCTCCATTTCGATTATCAGTCTTCGGAAAGCCACTTAGCCAGGCTTATCATTGGCCATTTGAATTGGGGTCTGGATGTGGAGGGACGGCTCTTCCTGCCCCACAACATTCACGTACGGATGGCCCACCTGGTAAGCGAGGCACTTAACAAGTTTGCACCCGAAGTTATTGGCGCCTCTGGAATTTCTGAGAGCGTGCGCCAAGTCTCCTCGCTGATCGACTCCACTCAGACGAGTCGGGAACAGTTTACTAGCTGGTGCTGGCGTATGATCTCCCTGCTGCGGCTTCATCTTATGGACCAAGGGGTGGAGTCTGTGAAACGAACCCTCTTGCATCCCACGGAACCATTGATGTTTATACCAGAGCTGGAGCGCATGGATACCATATTTCAGGGGGTCACCGAGAACCGGCCGCTGGCTTTGTATGTGGGCATGTTGGTCAGTCTGCATGGCCATTCTATTCCCCTCATCTGCCAGCATGGATTCAACTTGCTGCAACAGCTACTGCTGGATCATAGACATGCAGCCACCATCCGTTGCCTTGAGCTGATAGTGCCTTTATTTTTAGAAACTCCTGAAACGTTGGCCACTTGTGAAAGGTATTATCCTTACACTTCCTTGAAAACATATGTTTTGTATATATAATTTCTTTTTCAGTTTTCAGAGACTTTTGTCTACCCTTCTGAATGCCGACAGAACTTATTTGAAACTGGCCAAGGACATGGTATACGCCAACTCCATTGGTCCCATTTTGGAGCTCCTGGACAACATGCTTCATCACCAGATTGTTTCGTATACAAGGTTGCTATTTAAGTTTAAATATTTCTTAATCATCTTTTCATTATTTTACTTCCTTCAGCTTTGGCCTTTGCTCACCTCTCAACCTCTTGAATATTTGGCTCAACTGTTTCACCACTCTGCCAGGCTGGGCTCAAAACTCGAATTTATTGTACCTCCTTGATAGGATGCTGCGCATTTCCTACCAGTTCCCCGACTGCCGTGCGCAGGCTGTCGAGTTCTTCTACAATTACTACAAGGTATTCAACAGTAAAAGAGTGGAAAGTAGCTCTGTATACCAATTTTGTATTTATATTCGCAGGACTGCACGGATTGGAAATCAGCTCCCAAGGGCTCTGCTCTGAAAGTCTTTTTCGGCGGCCAGGCATCTTCTCGAATTCCCCTGATCTCCCCCCAGACATGTTGGCTAAATTTAGTGCTCCTAGAGATTGAGTTTAGACTAGTGGACACGAGAATTTGGCCAGAGCTGCTTCGGCAAGTTTCCGCCCAGCCTGTAGAGGCAGCTCTGAAGAAAACACTGTCCTTGGCCAAGGTGAACTCATTTCCTGCCAGCCAACTGGTGATCTACAAACACGCCCAGCTGCTGGCCAGCATGGAGAGTAACCACGCCCTGTTTCCCATCGTCTGCCAGAAGTTCTTCGAGCTCTACCTCTGGAGAGTGCCCACAGAGAACGAATCGCTCAACTTTAGTCAGAACTTCGGTGTGTCCGATAAGTTCTACGAACACAATGTGCCTTTGATGAAGAGTATTAAGTCGCAGCTGAAGTCTGCTGAAACATACCACTCAGCCTTGGCGACAAAATGCGCCAACGACGATTCCGCGGCCCACTTTCATCGCAGCTGCGTCAAGTTGATGCAAAGTTGTGCGCTTTGGCTGGAGGACACCCAGATTAACCGATTCAGCAGCGACGCAGAACAACTGCCGCCTCAATACAATTGTGAAAAGCTGAGGGAACTACTGGGTGGCCATGTGGCCCACTGGACGGAGTTCCTGTGCCTGGCCACGCTGCGGAAGGAGCAGCGAAATCAGGCGGATGTTTGGGGCCGAAAAGTGCTTAGGCTGCCCAACCGAAAGGCACCGAGGACTCCAGTGCAACCAAAGCCACGAACCCCTCCTGCGCAGCACATTAAAACTTTGTTGAACACTTACGAAAAGAGTGTAGCCATACCTGGCCACGAACGAGTCGAGCCCATCCAAACGCCCCCCATCGATGGAGACCTTCTGTCTCAGCTAAAGAAGCGGATGACTACCTTCAACTCAACAGCCAAGTGAGAAGCTTAGGTTAGCTTTTGAAAATCCTTGTAATTTTCAAACTCTTTCTTTGCTAGCCACTATCACTACAAGACCTCAGAGCTGAATTCCCTGAATTCCAACTACTTGGAGAGCGTTCCGGGCTTGTACCAGATGGTTCCCTACGAAGAAACCCGCAGGAAGGAATGCACTTCGCTCATCTTTCACCGAAGCTGCACCCGTGCAGCCCAGATTACCCTCAAGCCCGAACACATACGTATTAATGAAGTTATTTCCCGAAAGCTGAACGAGAATCGGGAGAGACATGATAAGCTCGTGGAGGAGCTCCTGGGGGCCATGAATGTGGATGTTTTCGCACAAGCCATTGAGGAATTCGGCGTCTACATTGGAGCCATTCTGCAGGCTCCCATGGACGAGAGGGTTACTCAGTTGGGAGTGAAAAGCTTCTATCAGTTGGTGGACAACCTCAACGAGGTGACGATGAACTTTCAGCCCACGCATGACTTGTACTTCCAGGTCCTGGATAAGCTAGGGGTGAGTATACATGCCGTTTCAAGTAAATTAAAAGAAAACTAAGAATATTTGTAGATTTTCTTGCAAGCGGATCAAGCGGCCCAGGGCTTAAGCGTGCTCCGACTGGCCCTCAAACGACCTGATCTCCTGGAGCTTCTGGCTGGCGTTTTTGTGCCCAGCCGCACCGATGTGGGCCACTTTCTGCCAATGTACGAGTTTCTTGTTGAATCCCACCTAAAGCGGTGCGACACGCAGACCCTGTTTGTGCTCTTCTCGAAGTTCGATCTGCTTGGGTGGTTGGAGGTCTATCAACCCAAGCTGAACGAAATCAACCGTCTCCTTTTGTTGGTGCTGCAAGGCTTGGAGGCATGGTCGCAGCCGGACAGCAGCCTGCTGCAAGATCTTTTCCGCCGGCACTTAGTCCACATCTTTGGCTACGACTTCCCCCAGCACTACGGGGAAGTCATGCAATTGGTATTGGATCGCGCCTCAGATCAAAAGCTGATGCCGGTGGTTCTGGTGGACTTGCTTAATGCCTTGTTCGTGCGCTGCAACTGCCCAGAGCTGACGCTGGAGGACTCCGAGGTGAAAGTGCACGAGGTGGCCCTGGACTTTGCCCGGCGGCAGAAGATCTTTAATCTGAAAGCTGCCACGGACACGCTGTTGCTTTTTTCGCGGCACTTTCAAAAGGAGCGACTGCATCACGGTCTCCATGGATTGTATCCCAAGCACAAGGACTACTGTCATCCACTGGTCATGTGGTTCACCAGTTTTGGCCACGTTCTATTGGCTTCGGCCATTTGCAGCTACCAGGAATTGCTAGCCGACCAGAGTGAGTTGATAGTGAGGTCGCCGAAGGAAGACTGATAGATTGTACTTTTTCCAGTAAGCGACATTGTCTTTGGCTCTATTGTGGAGACGTACGGGCCATGGCTTATTCCGTACACGGAGCAGACTGCCACTGGAGTGGCACATTGGATACGACAGCTGACGCCTGGCCAGAGCAAGGTGCTCTTGCCCTGGAGCGAACAGCAGGTGGGCAGCAGCAAGCTGATGATTCGCTCCTTCGTGGCCACCACGTTGCAGGTGTTGCAGTTTCTGCCGTCGTCGAACAAGATCCTGGAGCACGTGTTCGCATGGTATGTGCACCACTTTGCCCAGCCCAATATTGCGGGCTATGTGCTGGCTCCTATTCACGAAGGATTGGCCCAACTTCCGTGGCAACGCTTCTTACCTCCGGCCCAGCACATTGAGCTTCTGTATGAGAGCCTTCAACGCTTTCTGCCAGAGTCCCATGCCATGCTGGGACACATCTTCATCCGCGTGGATTGGAACAACTGGTTCGTTCAGATGCCCCAGCCGGTGGCTCTGTTGTCCCATCTCTTTGGCATCTTTGTCAAGATAGCCTTCGAACCAAACATCCACATCCAGCCAAACACAAGCAAAATCCTGGAGGAGGCCATTCAGTATCCGTGGCATTTGGTCGAGTACAGCGAACTGGAGCAATTGCTCAAGTGGTTTGTGGCCAGTGTGGAACCGGCCATTGTCCTCAAGCTGCCCAACGAGACCAACTATGCCGATCGCGCTGTGTTGGAGTAAGCACATTTGGGAACTTCCTTTATTTTTCTCTAATTTTGTCTCGTTGTAGACTTATTCGCTTGGCATGTGCCATGTTGCCTGAGCGCTCCAACCAGGACGCTATTGTGCTGGGATCCGCTAAGCGCATGTTATACACCCGGTCCATGGTCCGATTGCAGCGAGCCGGAGGATCCAAACATAAGAAGCTTATGATGACCAAAGATGGGGAGCGCTTCTTCACCGACGCGTTCCTGGAACTCCTCAATAGCATTGACCGGGCAATACACAGTTGTAGTGAACACCGCACGCCGGAGGAGCAACGGCGGGAGGCTCTGAATCTGATGCTGGAGCTGGTGGCTCCCACTCAGACCCAGAGCCAGGAGGTTTCCAAGTGAGTTCGCGGTAACTTTCCAAAAGGAAAAAGTAAACTTACTGTGTTTATTGTTTAGTATCCACATCAAGGCTCTTGTTTGGTGGCAACAGCGGTGTGCCCCCGGCAACCTGGTCATGTGCTCCACTCTCCCCGCTATTGGTCACTTGAACAACTACATTGCAAGCATATACACTTTGCTAGAGTCCAGCGTGGAAAGCTACTTCCGAACCTCGGAGAATGCCCCGTGGCACGCCCCAAGCTGGCAGGGCTTACTCGAGTCTCTGAGCATGTCTCTGCCGAAGCTTGATCTAATGCCCATCATGCAGGGTGGCTACCTCTTCTCTCTACACGTCTTTGTGGTGTACAAGATGGAGGAGATAGCCTCGGATGGCGACAAGGTGACGTTCCTACAGGACCTGAGCCAGTTGCTGGAGAGTGTGAAGAGCACGCCTGTAACGGAACCACGCTTGGCTATTGTGTGGGGTGTAATCATTTCACGTGGCTGTCAGGTCCTCCAAGTCAACCAGCAGGTGAAGAAGCCACTATATATGCTCGCCCGGCAGCTACAGGCTGCTTCCACAAAATCCGAGGGCTGGAGCGATGGATTGCTGGGCGCGATTGGACTGAAATCAGAGGTCATCACCAACAGGTAGGTTGTCAAAGCAAACGCGAGTCTTTCGGTTTCATATTTAAATGATGTTCCTTACAGACGAAAAGTCCTAACCCGCTGCTTGGCCTGCGTCATATTCTCCCTGTTTCCGGCCAACCGAGATCTTCGCTTGCCCTCGGAGGAGTACGAGAGCGCCATGCGCGAGCTGTCCATGCTCTTGGCCAACAAAAAGTTCTCGGAGGAGAAGCCCTCGATAGTGCGGGCCGTGACCCTGCTGAAGGAGTCTGTCTTTCCTGAGCCGCGGTCGGTTTCGCACTTGGTGTGCCGGCTGATTGCAATATTCTACGATCAGAGCTTCTTGACAACCATTCCGGAGGTCTGGGACTTCGACTTCAAGCTTAGCTCCACGTAGCTTAGGGAGCAGGCGACGAGGACTTCTCATTCAAACAGCCAGTTGTGTTATTTTCAGAGTGTTGAATATCATATATCTAGGTTTAGGGTCAATAAAGTGATGTACTTGTGCAATTTTGGAAATTGCCAAGAAAACATAAGCCATTCGACTATGAATATACCAATTCCAAATATATTTTCGATTGACACGGTTTTTGGTGATCTTGTTTTACATAGAAGTTCATTACATTCTGAATGGGCACCCTTTATAGGGCACACAATTTCATCTTTTCTATAAATTTATTAAATACGTTATCTAGATCGCGCATACTTGACGCGATTTGTACCGGAATACATACATATATATCCTTCGTAATAATGATGAGTGAATCGACTGTACAATAATTTTAATGATACAATTCAAATGAACGCTAAACACAGAATATAAATACATATGGCTAAACGAACAACAACAGGTGAACATGGGGGGCCTACTCTTAGACAGGAATAAATAACAGGGCTGAGAAAAGCGGGCGCAGCCGGGCTCCGTTCGAGCGGTAATCAGTCTTCCACGGCAAAGTTGGATAGCTGCAGGTGCTGCAGGTTGTTCCGGGCCTCAAAGTAGCCCGTATCCGTTGGATTGTCAGGCGTGGGCACAAACGGTGGCTCTGTGTTGCCAATGTTCTCCCAGTCAATGTCGGCAAAGTGCTGCATTTGTTGCACCTCTTTGGCAGCAGGTCGCTCCGCGGGGTCCATGGTCAGCAGGAGCTCCACAGCCTCCATGGCTTCAGCAGATAGCGCCTCATCGCCTTCAGGCCATTCGATGTCTGCAAGTACAAAACTTAATTGAGGTCTTACTTTAAAAAAAAAAACAGGTTAACCCACTTTTGTTCAGAATGTTGTCAAATACTTTTTGAGGCGTCTCATCGTTGAAGGGTGGAATACCGGTCATGAACTCGTAGAAGCACACACCCAGGGCCCACCAATCCACGGCGGGGCCATGGCCTTGCTTCAGCAGTAGCTCTGGAGCCAGATAATCCGGGGTTCCCATGATGCGTTCATTGGAAATACGCGCACCCCTCCTCACAGACTTCGGCGTGCGAAACGGTGTATTAATATTCATATTCTTTGGAGTCTTGGGCAGGTTACCAGCGCCATGGTTGATGGGAGACATTGTGGGGTCGTCGGCCAGCTTAAGGTGGTAGTGCACACCCGACATCTTTTCAACGGCCGCATGCTCCCGTTTCTTATTTTCTATCGACAAAGGCAGTGCGAAGCGAGTAGCCTTCAGTTTTCCCAGCAAGCCCCCATCGCGGCGGGGCAACTTTTGGGACGAGACAGGCGTGGAGAAGACCACATTGGCCACGTTTGCTTCCGGGCACAGCAAATGGTTCATGGGCAGTTCGTCATCGGAGAGGGAACGAACCTTGAGGACTCCCCGGATAGGCGACGAACGAGCCTTTCTTTTCTTCGGCGTGCTGCTGCCAATGTTCAGGATTTCGATCTCCTGGGTGAGACCGGTGTTTTGGCTGCCATTGCCCGAGCTGGAGCCATCGGCATCCAGACTGGACATGTTGTCGGAACGATTGACCAGATTGATCTTTCGTTTCATGCCGCGCAGAAAGTCGGGGCGCTTAAAGTGCTTGGAAAGGTTTCGAAAAGGTGAGTTCATGTGGATCCCACTCATCTCGTTTCCATTGGTCATGTTGTAACTGCGGGAGTAGTCCGAGCAGCTGAAGTCCTCCTTGGACTGACTCAGGTTTTCGGCCTTGTTCTCGATAGAGGAGGCGGTGCTCTCACTATTCAGGTTCAGGTGGCAACTGGAGTTGTCATCCCCCTTGCGGCTTGACACGCCGGAATCCTCCTGACCTTTTAACAAGCGATTGCGCTAGGTTACGGTGATATATATCAGAATTTATGTCATTACGGGATACATGATTAAAATAAAAACATTCAACAAGAAAGGAAAGCTATCTTCGGCGAACCGAAGCTCACATACCCTTGCAGTTGTAAGGCGGTTTCTATTGTTTAGTTTATATGTTAATATATGATAAAGGATGGACATGGATTGAGGCACTCGGTATACATAATGAGGCATTTAATTTTAGAACTACATATATGCTTATTAATAAAGATATAGCCTTTACTGTCATCGGGATCTTTCCTGTGGGGTGGATAGAATCTAAAACATCGTAAGGATAGGATGTCCCTTTCATCAATAGCATCAATTTCAAAGGATACTATCAACCTCTTCTTTCAAACATGAATGTTATGAATTTTCCTAGCCTTCATGCTTAAATCTACTCGAAAGTAGACATACATCACGCCCCCTGCAAGGGTATAACAAGGAGATGGATAAAAGAATTACAAAAGGAGCCGAAGGAGACAAAACACTGACAGGACATGCACATGCCAACGCACCTCGTCGAGGGATCGCCTGCGTACCATGGAGAACTCAAACGAGGGCTCGTTTGCATTCTCCAGCTTCGGAAAATGCTTGCCACCTTTGGTGGCCAAGTTGTTACTGCTGTCCTGCTCGGCCAACTTGCAGCCCTTATTGCGGAAATGAACCATTACTTTGGCACTTAGAGGCAAAGTAACTTACCTGGCAGGGAACTGGATCCAAAGCAAACTCCACGCGTCGCTTGGTGGGAGCAGCCTCCGTAGCCGCGACTCCTGATCCAGCGGACTCCAACGGCGGCGAGCACTTACTCAGGTCGGCTGAATTGCAGGTGTGGAAAGAGCAGGACGAGCTGCTGTCCTGTGGCTACAGGAATCAAAAAATCAATACATAAACTAAGAGATTATTCTTTCTTCTACCCACATTAATATTGGTGGTGCACGTGTGGGTAATGGAATCGTTAACCTCCTCGGCTGAGAAGAAGGGCGATACTCCGGAGATCTTGCTGTCACTCGTCTTTTCCGCCTCATTTAGCGAAGTGTCACCCTCGCTGTCGGACAGCTCCATGATCAGACTATGCTTGTTGATGGCCTGGAGAAGGTGGGAAGTGCCAGTGCCAGTAACCATGGGTGCTCCTCCCATACCGGCCACAATGTGTCCTGGCAGAGCGGAGCCATAGTCTTGCAACTTCTTCTCGGAACCAAAAGACAAGTGCGAGGTGAGCGACAGAAGCTGGCCTGGGGTCCGGGCATTCAAGTTTGGGGAGCAGTTGATTAAGTCGGAGATTTCCAAATCCCTTCGCATATCGATCTTGCTCAGCCCAAAGTCTGTGAGCTTGACATGACCTGTGGCGGACAAGAGCATGTTGTCCGGCTTGATGTCGCGATGGACGATTCCATGCTGGTGGAGATACTGCAGCGCCATTACCATTTCGGCCACATAGAAACGGGCAGTGACCTCGTCGAAATATCCGTACATGGCCAGCAGGGACTTGAGATCTCCCCCGACCATGTACTCCATCACTAGGTAAACGTAGGACAGCGACTGCAGCGAGTAGAACAGGCTCACGCAGAACTGCGAACGGGACAGGGCGAGGGCGTTCCTCTCGGTGATCACCTGGGAGACCATGTTCTTGTTGATCATCTCCGACTTGCGCATCACCTTGATGGCGAACAGCTTGTTGGAGTCATTGTTCTTGTAGCCCAGGAAGACCTTACCGAAGGCTCCTCGGCTGATTGGTTTGATGATGACAAAGTCCTTGATCGTGGGAAGCTGGAGTTTCATAATTTATTAGAAAATTTGTACAAAAATGGAGAGTGGAAAGGGAAGGCCAGTTTATTTAGAAACAAATTCGATACATGAATAAACCCTTTAAGGTAACCAAAAACAGACCACCAGATCAATCCTTTGATCCAAATAACAATCCAGGATTATTTAAAAAATTACTTTAAGAACTACTGTGGTGTTGTACACATTGTCGGAAGGACATATCGCACGTATAGTCTATAAATATCATAAGGGTGTAAAAACCTTTCTCTTCTTAGGTGTATTTATTTATTTTCCTTTTTCGGGAACCCACATTTTTGGCGCCCTCTTGTCATCAAGTAACTGTAAACCTATCACGTGTCCTCTTTCCTTACCTTTGCATTCTGGGAGTGGTTCTCCGGCTTAGTGGTGAGGATATTGATCTTGTCTAGCAACTGCTCACTGTCGATCAGCGAGTGGGTCTTCTTGGGAGTCTTGTAGTCAATTTGGGGATCCGACTGGGAAGTCGCATCAGCGTTTTCCATATCTCCCAGTTTACCGTCTTTTTTGATCGCGCCTTTTACGCGTTTACCAAGTTGAGAGCTGATGGGCTAGTAGGTAGGCCCAAATTAAATTCACGATATTGATTTAGTATTTTTTTATCGTTTATTGCACAATTAAAAATTTTAAAAAGCAATTTGAACCGAGCAGCGCGTCGATATTGGTTCAGTTCGTACGTGTGACCAGGGCTACGAAAACAATGGCGAAGGCACAAAAGAAGGGATGGCCAAATAGGGAAAGTAGTCACGTTTTGTTAAAAATATATATTTATCCGTTTTTAAAATATTTTCATTCTATTAATTTTTCTAAATTTCTCATCCTAGAATATATATTCAGACGGCCAATACAACTCGTGTTTTGTTGGTAATATTCTTTAAAAATCAAAACTATACACATCGAATTTCACTGATCACATTTTTGAATAGTGTGCAGCCCTAGAGTCGCAAGCCAGCCCTGGTTTTATCGATAAATATTTTATCGATCTCCATATGGATATCAAGCGTTATTTTAAAATCCATTGTCAACATCCAAATCCAATCACTAAAATGTAAACATATCGATTAAGGATGTAGTCTCATGTGCCGGCCTACTTTTTAGAGGTTATTTCAAAAAATTTTTTTTGTAATAAAAAATAATGCGATCGTTTCAATTTTCAAATATGTTTTTATAAGCATCATAAACTATTTGAAAATATTTCGTTTAATTTATTCTTGTGTAGTTTAATACACTTTATAGCATGCCAAAGTATGCATATAAAAAAAAAAGATAGGTCCCTGGCGCAGGTGATTTCGACTGCTAGAGTCATCCGAAACAAAAAATTAGAATAGATTATTGTTTTGTAAGCTAATGGCTCTGTCCCGTACTAGAATGAAATATTTTCATCAATAAACAACAAAATGGCGAACTCACAAAACAAAAAATTAAAAAAAATTTAAAAAATTTATCTTAAATTAATGATAAAAAAAAAACTAATCATTAAAAATAAATGATTCTAGTACGGGACAGAGGTGTTACTTTTAAGAACAACATATCCAAATTTCAGCTAGATCGGTACCATAGAATTTTGTGAATCACCTGCGCCGCACACAAAAATGTCGTTTCGAGAAAAACGCGTTTAAAGTTTAGACGCTACCGAGAAACTCATACTTTTCGGTGTAGGCGCGCTCTCGATTCTGGGCTGTATCTCTGTCATTATTTGATATTTTTATTTGAAACTTTAACAGTACATTCATAATAAACAATACTACCAAAATATAAAAAAAAAAAAAAAATTGATTTTTTCAACCTCACACATGAGACTACATCCTTAAGAGACTTCAAATTTTTCAAAAATCCATTTTATTTATGAAATACGTATTACATTTTTACAGATCAAAATAGCTTATTGCATATACTGGTGGTTGGAAAAGGACAATCAAAGAAATATTTTTATTCTTAAAAAAACTGCATTAATTATAGTGTAATGGTATAATATAAATGTGTATTTTGTTTTTCGGTTCGATACCCAATTAGGCTGGGTAAACAGGCTTAGATTTGAAGCGATTCTTCGGAAGATGGTTGCTTTGTTAGCCAACAGCCATCCACCGAGAAATCACAGTCGAGATTGGTAAAACTTCAGACCTGGTCAAGTTTTTGTTAAAAAATACAAGACCAGGTCCGACTGATAGAAGTCGTCACATCTCCTTACTATGTAATTTTACGTCCAAAACACAAATTACCATAAAGAGGGAAAACCAGATATGCTACGTAATACTTATGATCTAGGGAAGTGATTATGCTTATATTCTTCTACATAATGGAGCAGCGGGATCGGTTAGTCTCCGTATCCGCCGACTCCACGACCGGTGGAATATTCTCTTCGTTGACGGGAACTTCTTCGTCATTGCCATCAACACCTTTCTCGGCGGGGATTTCTTTTACGGGCGAACCACCTTTCTTCGGCGTTTCCACACCGGCCTCCTGGCCCACAGACAGATCTTTGACAACTTCCTGGCCTTTCTCCTCCGCTCCTTCTGGCAAACTGACCGAAGATGTGTTTAGCTTGGCCTCCTCCTCGATCACAATGCCCGACACGTTTTGTACCTCGCCACCATCATCGGCAAACGGAGCCTGATCCAGACACAGACGCGTCGGATTGCTGATGGTCGTCTTGGAGAAGCGCGCACGTAGCAGGCTAAATGGCGACGGCAGATTCAAATGGAAAATGTCGAAACGGGCTCGCTTCGGCGGCGACATTTCTACATCCTGGGCCAGATCATTGGTCGACTGAGATCCAGAAAGCACCGGAGGAGTACGGTCACGCTTGCGTCCGGATCGAAAGATGGAGAACGAAAACGACGAGCTGTTGGGGATTTCAGATCCCACGGTGGCGTTCATACTGGCATTGGTGCAGTTCGAGGTGTCCAGATCGCTGGGAGCGCACCTGTAGCTGCCCACCTTCGAGGGCGTCAAAGTGTTGAGTCCTCGTATACTGCGCCGGCCACTTATCTGGGCGAAAGTGCGTGGCGGAGCCGTGACGGGTGAACTGGAGGCCTGGGCAGCCAGTTCCACCTCAGTGCTCTGCTTGCTGCCGCTTCGGAAACCAAAGATACTACGTCCCGGTGTGGAGGTGGCCGCTGGCTGGGCATCCAGGTTACTGCGGACGCTGCGTATGGGAGATGCATCCACTGTTAGCGGCTCCATTTCCACATCCTCGGGTTGTGCTGGCGGAGATGGTTCCGCAACTTTAGTGGGAGTCACATCTACTGATTTCTTTTGAGCCGGCGAAACGGAAGGCTGCTTGGCTACTGGGGACGTCTGTTGGCTGCCCGACTTGCGAGTGGATTTGCGCTCCTTGGTGGGCGTACTGGGCTCCGGAGCCTTCTCCGCCTCCTGTGGTTCATCATCCAGAATAATGACTACATCTGCTTTATCTTCTGGTTTGGGAACCTCAGAAGCGATAGCTTCCTTTTTGGATTCCTCCGCAGTTTCATTCTTCTCTGCTGGCCCTTGCTTCTCGGTCACCACTTCCTTCTCCACTTTGTCAGAGGCCTTATCTTTAGGCTTTGACTCCTTCTGGTCCTTGCCATTCTGCGGGGGCTTCTCCTTGCCGTTGGTGGACTTGCTGACGCCGTTTTGGCTCTTCTTATCCTCATCCTTGGAGGCACTAGAAGACGCCGAACTGCTTGACGATGAACGCGTGTGATTGTGAGGCTTTTTCACAGCTCCCAACGGGGCGGTGGCATTTACTTTTTGGTTGCCACCATTCTGGGGGCTGTTGGAGCGGCCATTAGTGCCGGATTGTATGCGGGAAACTGCAGAGCCACCGCTGAGCGATAGGGGTAGGCGACGACCGGGGCCACTGGGACCTGCACCAGCTCCCCCTCCTCCTGATCCACCGCCTCCAGCACTGTTCGGTTGCGCCATTTTGCTCAACATTGGTTATTCTTGGCCGTGTTGCACGATCTCTGCAAGGGATCCAAACAAAGGGTAGATGGGTTTCATTAGTTGACTGAAGTGCATCGAAATCGAAATGAAAACTAAACAAGTACGAGAATGCTGCGGTTTGTTTACACCACATTCCTCTCGAGAACCGGCTCAAGTGCCTGTCCGCCCCAGCCCACTTACCACAGTTCTGCTGCTTTATTATGAGAATTTTTAATCACAGTAGAGTGGCTGTTTTTCCAATCTCTTTGGTGCTAATCTCTGGGTGACGCTTTGCGTTTATCTCTTTTTTTTATCCCAACACGTCTAGACTCTTTCGTGTCTGAAGATTGACTTGATGTGATGAGTGGTCGGCGATGGCTTAAGTAGCGATTCGCAGGATCAGGTCAAAGCGCAGGTACTGCATAACTGCAGGTACCTGGCTCTACAGCTGCCATTTATGACATCCATCTGGACGCCCAGATTAGTACGCCATAATTACCAGGAAAGACCAATCGCGAAGCGACATATGCTAATGATCGCTGCCAATTTTCCCGGCCAATACCTGAGTAAAATCCCTTTTCCCTTGGGGTGGCATTTCCACTCCTTCCCTCCTCACTGACCTGGCCCAACACCGTATATACTTTTCGGTTCTACTTGACTGGTTTCGCTCCCCCAAAATATTGTTAGCTGGCTTCCGTTCTATTAAATGCATTCGAAGCAAAATGAGACATAAACCCTACAAACACCGGCCAGCACGCGAGGCGGCCACGGGCGTTGTGTATATTTCTCTACTTGTTGGCTTGCTTTGCAAGCAAAATAATTCGATGGGGAAAAATACAGAAACCTAGAAAAGGCGAAAAACAGAGACCGAGAAGTGGAATAAAATGCAAGACAATTTTCTTTTCCTAGGCCGACCTACACTAAGCAGACAGCTCGATGCCATTTAAATGGGAAATTCTCAATGACAAAAACCAGGATCATGGAATACCCTGAAACTGCATATTTTTACTCAAAATATTATATTATTAGAAGATTAACCGTTTTTCAGACTTGCAACCAAACATATCTTTATTTTATTCTATATTTTTCGTAAAATTAAACACACCCCGTGGAAGGGTACCCAAACGGGTTGCACCCAAGTGCATTTTCTGTGGGAAAGCAAAGGCAGGGGACGCCGTTTAGAAAGAAATAGCATCGAGCGGCTCGGTGACTTTGGTTTTCTTTTTTAGAAAGTGGAAATGCGAATGCGAAAATTGCGGCCAGCGCACGATGCTGTGCCCAGCAGCGAAAAATAATGAAATGCAATTGCAACTGCAACTGAAATATCACAGCGGCGAGATATGAGTCTGTGTTGGGGGAATGCAGGGACGTTAGTGTGTGTAGGCAGTGGAGCGCATTTATGCGCCAAGCCCTCGCGATAGGGGAATAATTATTATAATGCTATGCTCCTCGCTTTTGTTTTGACATTCGTTCGCCAGAGTTGATTAAACTCGAATCCGAAGCATAAAAGCCCCTTTGTGTGCTTGAGCAGTTAATGGAGGTTCTCTTGCCCATCCCGCAGTTAATCAATTTAAACCAGTTGCGATCTGATCAGCAAAAAGCATAAACACCAGATAGCCCTTCCTCCTTCTCGCAATAAAAAACAGCAAAACATTGAATCGCAAGAAAGCAAGCCGTCTGGATTTCAGTTCGTCTGCTTGTGTGTGTGTGCGTGTGTGAGAAAAGGCGGCTCACAGTGCGCGCCAAAATATTGGTCTCGGCGCATGTAGTTCGAATTGAACAGCTTTCTTTATTTTTAAAATTAGAGAAACTTAAATGTCAATGTCTACAGGGGCGCTTAATCCTTTAACTTAACCTAATTCAATGAAAAAAACACTCCGCTTGATATATCAGCCTTCAGGCTTGTCCTTTGTGCTTTGCCACCACTGTACCAGACAATTGTCGGAGGCTCAATATTTAAAAATGGCGGCGCGGGTGCTGCAGCAGCAACAATTCGAGATATGAGTTTTTAGGAAAATGAAATTATATCCGCGTGTTTTATAGCAACTAGGCAGCTGCAAGCCCTTCGCAAGGTCATAAAACTCGATCAGTACGTCTATACTTTTAACACATTTCGCGATTTAAAAATCGGCCGGTTTAGTTTGTACGCGCAATCTTTTTATGTACACCAAGCTTGCAATCCTACCGCAACAAAGGACTCGTAAATACCTCGCTCACTTTATCTCCCCAATTGGGCCCCCAGTCTGTTATTAGTTAACACAAACCTTTTATTTTGGCGTCGGCGACAGTTTAATACACGGTAATTGATGCGCTCCGAGAAATTGAGTTGAATTGCAACTGACGCCGACCGATATAAAATACAAACAACGCGCTGAAAAATGGCTGTATGCTTGATAGAGCTGGAAGACCATCGACGATAGTATCGATGGTGCCTTAGCTGCGATGAGCAGCGACCATCGATAGCTCCATGGAGTTTGTAGCTGGGAATTCTTTGTAAATAAATATGTATATAAAAAGAAAATTTTCAAATCTTTTTAGATATTTTAAAAAAAGAGATAATGTTTTTAAATTAGAAAGTTAAAATTTCGCTAACACATATTTTAAATAGGTATATTTCTGTCAATACTATCGCATACATAAATTGTTGAGACCACCACCAACGAATTGGCGCCAAAATTTAGTGTTGCTAAGCTCCAATTTAGTTTATCAATTTGCTATCCCCAGCGATGTCTGACGATATTTTACATATATTATATACATATGTTGATTCTTCATTACTTTTCTGTTAACCATTTCGCTTTTATAAGATACACTTGCGTATTTTTAATATAAGTTAGTCATCCATCTATCTATTATCTATTCTACGTCAAATATCTACTTCTTACTCTCCATTTCTAGTTCATAATTATCTATCTGTTTTTTATTATAATTACAGTTCATTTTTAAGAAGTAAAATCTACGATATTTAATATTTTACTTGGGCTCTATCGATAGTAGACAGCCAGCCTCTCTTTGACAACCCTAGACAACAACCCTACGCCTAAATAAACTTTAAATCGGCAAAATCAATGAAATAACTGAAACACCTTGGTGAGTACCTTTCAAAAGATCGATTTGTAGTCGTCTCGACTCCGGGGCCTCGCAGATTCCACTCCAAGAGGCTTACTTAATTGAATTTTCCACAAAACATGACGCATCTGCGGCGGTTCCATGACTACGCCTTTCCATTTGTACCGGAACCACACACACATACGGCGCATTAACCCACACCGTCTTACATTGGACCGAATCGTACCACACGCAGAGTGCGAACGGAGAAGACGGAAAAACTAAGAGCGACACTGGAGAAGAAAAACCAATCACAACCCAGTAGTAGCAGCACCAGCAGACATGGCCAATCTCCTCGAGAATCAACTCTTTACGGCGGCCAAGACCATTGAGCAGCAGCTGGACCAGCAACTTGATCGCCTGGATAACTTGGACTCCGATGATTTGAAGGTCTTGCGTGAGCAGCGCCTTCGCGAAATGAAGGAGCTGAACAACAAGAAGCAGGAGTGGCTCAGAAACGTAAGAAGCAGTTTCCAATAGGAATCTTTTCAACCTTAAATTTCATCAAATTTCAACCTTAAATTAAATAAAGTTTCATTTTCCAGGGGCATGGCACCTACTCTGAATTGGCCGACGAGAAGGAATTCTTCGAGATGTCGAAAAAATCACCAAACATTGTGTGTCACTTTTATCGCGACAGCACTGAGCGCTGTAAGATTGTGGATATGCATTTGAAAATCCTGGCTGCCAAGCACGTGGAGGCCAAGTTTTGCAAGGTTAATGCGGAAAAAACGCCATTCTTGACCCAACGACTTCGCATCAAGGTAATACCCACCATTGCCTTGGTAAAGGATAGCAAGACGAAGGACTTTATTGTGGGCTTCACTGATCTGGGTAACTGCGACGACTTCTCCACGGAAATGCTGGAGTGGCGCATCGCCCACTCGGGAGCTATTGAGTACAAGGGAGATCTAATGCAGCCACCGGATGTGAAACGCAAGCCGTTCATAAATCGCCCACAGAAGACAATACGCGGCGGCTACGATTCAGACGACTCAGACATCGACCTGGATGACTAACTACGGGCAGCTGGTCCCACGCTCTCAATGATTCCCCTAGCCCCATACTCCTACACTCGAGACACTCAAAAGAGGTGATGGAGAGCACGAAAAAGCAGAGACACACACACAAATCAAAACCTAGCACATGGATCTAAACCAATTAGGCGTACTTTAGCGATATTTATTTAATTATACGATATACGATTCCGATCAGTATCTGCTACGGTTCAACATCCCCAAAACCCCCTCCCTACATAGAATGTAAGTGGCTTATTCGGTTGCCTTTTCCCCACGATTATGTGCTTTAATCTATCAGTTCAATCAGCTGCCTCGAAGGCTGAGCCACCCTAGCGAGCTTAAGCGTACTCAAAATTTGATCTTACGGTATGGAACTCCATGCAATACCTTCTGTAATTCCAAATCCACAATGCACCCACACCTGAAGCACATATATATGTATGTTTAGTTGAAGATAGTTTTACGGCCTGCGTGTAAAACAAAAAGTCATACACACACAACACAAAAGACAAGAAACAAGACATCTGGCATATATATTTTTTGAACGGCTAAAACAAGGTGTATTGCATTTCCTACTGTAGAGGTAACTAACACATATGTACAAGTTTTTATATTTATTTTTGTAACTCTACAAAGCATACAAATGAAATCAACTATTAAATTGCATGTTCAAAACAATACGCTAATTGTGTCTCTTGTTAATGAGCCAGATGGGAAGTGAATGTTTGGAAAACGGACACATAGTTCATACAAAGTGTGCCAATATCGATCAATTATAACGTTGCCATGGATATCGTGGCCTTTAGTTTAGTTTTCAATATGAAAAGATGTCTCTTAATTATATTTACGTATATGTTTCATATGAATATCTACCACCACTTATCGGTGGTCCGATAAGTACTTAGCCTCCATAAGAAAAACGAAAATTTTGGAAAAGTGGCGATTTATTTCTCAACGTAATCTCCTTTTAGCTCGATACACTTGACCCAGCCATGCTCCAACTTCTTTAAACCGTCTGAAAAATAAGTTTTCTCGAGTTCTACAAAATAGGCCTCTGTGGCGGCGACGACCTCCTTATTCGACGCAAATTTCTGTCCAGCGAGTGACTTTTTCAAGTTGGGAAACAAAAAGAAGTCATACGGGACCAAATCTGGAGAATATGGTGGATTGGGTAGCAGTTCGTAGCCCAATTCGACCAATTTGGCCGTGGCGAGGGCGGAAGTGTGAGCCGATGCGCTGTCATGATGGAAGAGCACTTTTTTCTTCGCCAAATGGGGCCGAATTTTCTGAAATTCGGCGGCGAATCGGCCCAATAATTCGGCATAGTACAGCCCTGTGATCGTTTTGCCCTTCTCCAGGTATTCGATGTAGATCACCCCTTGTGAATCCCAAAAAACTGTGGCCATCACCTTTCCGCCCGATGGGATAGTCTTTGCCTTCTTCGGAGCAGGTTCGCCGGGTGAAGTGCACTGTTTCGACTGTTTCTTGGTCTCTGGGGTGCACCAGTGGATCCATGTTTCGCCGACGGTCACGAAACGACGCAGAAACTTCTTCGGATTGCGCTTAAACAGCGACAAACACTGCTCTGAAGTGGTCTCACGGTTGCGTTTGTTGTCCGGAGAGAGTAAACGCGGCACCCATCGCGCCAACAGCTTTCTCATGCCCAAAACTTCGTGCAGGATATGACCCACGTGTTCTTTTGAGATGCCTACTCTCTCAGCTATCTCGCGCACCTTCCATCGACTGTCTGCCAATACGAGATCGTGGATTTTTGTCACGTTATCCTCCGTGGCAGCCGTTTTCGGGGCATCTGGACGTGGCTCATCAAAAACCGACCACGTTGAAACTCGTTGAACCAATTTTTGACAGTCGCCATCGATGGAGAAGAGTCACCGTACACAGCATCCAAGCTCTTTTTGATTTCGCTGCGCGATTTCCCTTCCAAAAACAAAAATCGAATCACAGACCGATATTGCTCTTTCTCCATTTTTCTAAAATCCGCGGACCGATTCCACACGTAGTCAAAATAAAAGTCAGAATCGGCTAAAATTTCGACAGTCGGGAATGTAGTACACACTAGCAAGTACTAAGTAAGTAAGGCTAAGTACTTATCGGACTGCAGATTTTTTATTATACCACCCTTGCAAAGGGTACATATATTAATTTTGGTCAAAAGTGCGCAACGGATGAAGATGACATCTCCGACCTTATGTATACGTACTATTCGATATATTCTTCACCAGGATCACCTCCTGAGTTGATATCACAGCCTGCTCACACATTTTTTATTTCTTAGCACTCAGTATATAAATTCGGAACGGCCGGGATTGGCCGTCTATATCCTTTAGCTGCCATAAACCTGTTTAATCGCAAATGGAATTTGGTATTTGTTAAAAATACCAACTTTGGTATTTTGGAAAATATTGGGATTGGGATTGGGATTTTTCTTCTAATTTTGAATTCTAATAAATGGGCTTTTTTATAAAATTCTTCAAAGGATCGGCCCAATATATCCGGTTGAGATTTATTCGTTTCCGCCGATAGTTAGCGTTCCCTTCTTGTTTAATTTTGTTTTTAAGTTTTATTTATTAAAATTTTTAAGATTAAAAAAAATAAATAAATAAAAAATAGACACTTGAAAATTAACTTGAAATTATTTCACTTATAAATATAAGAAATAATGAAAATTAAAAACTTTAGAAAGGTAATGGATGACCAGCCAATAGTAGAGACAAAAGGTTGTCATAAAATAAAAACTAAAACATTCTAAGAAACCATTTTATTTATTTTGGTTTTTAAAATTATACATTTTCAGAAAGAGACCTCGTTTCTGCATCTTTTGGAAAAATAAACTTTGAAACTCATATGATCAGGTAAGTATTCGGAAAACAGCTGTTAAAGGATCATTAGGTGAAAATACTCCATCTTTAAACAGCTGCTTTCCGAAGGGTTGGCATCCCCTAACGGAGGATCGATAAGGGCGAAAAGAGACGCCATCCGATGCCATATTTACCTGACGCCGTAATCCCGGGTAACATACTTAGCTTGATCGCCATAAAATCGAAATCAGGCAGGCGACAAAATATTTCTAGGAACTTTACCTGCCAGATGAATAAAAGCCGCCCCCCAAAATCAGCTCAGCATCATTGGTTTTCCAGTTCCCAACGAGGAAAGTTCGCGAAAATGGTTCTGGCTGCCGAAGTGAGAAATATTGTAAAGGCTCTAAAGGGCTCGAACAGCTGCGAGGAGATCGCCCAGATACTTGAGTGCGACGTGGAGAGCGTGGTGAGTTGCATCCGAGAGTGTGAGCTGCTGGAGGGTAAAACAGCCACCCTGCGTCTGCCCCAGAAACCCAAGACCCCAGTCCAGCCTCAGGCGCCACTTCGGGAGGAGGACACAAATCGCGAGGCCGCAAAGCGAGAAGTGGGCAGGCCAAAGGTTTTGGAAAACCGCCAACTGGTTGAGCAAATACTAGCCCGTCACCCAAACTGCACATCCGTTGATGTGCAGAAGATACTGATCAGACAGTATGGCATAGAAGTAAGCCGAAGGACATTGCAGCGGCGCATCAGCGAGATTCGATCCAAGCTAATCCGGGACGGAAATAGAGAAGTCACAACCCCGGCAGAAGAGGAGAAAACAACGACTTCGCTCAGTATGGAATCAAAGCGAAGGAGGGTGGCCTGGGCGAAGGCCCATCAGGATTGGACAGTGCGCGACTGGCGTAACATTTTTAATATGGACGACCTCAAGTTTGTGGAGGGATCACCGCCAAAGGAGATTTTTCTGGACACCCTAGTCGGCCCGGAGGGCACTGACTGCAGCGACCTCAATCTTCTGGAGCAACTGATGGCCATCATCCAGCCAAGGATTCAGAACCAGGCTCCGAAAAACGTCTACGAGTTTAAATCAGTTTTATACGATGTCTGGCACAGTGACCACGAGATGGTGGACAAGATCGAAATGCTGTACGAATCCATGGCGTGGCGAGTGACGGCGGTGATCCATAGTGGTGGAGACCTGACCGAATTCTGCTAGCCTGGCTAATGATTTTACAGTTTTTGAATGTCTAATTAAAAATTAAAACATTTAAATTCTTTGTTTTAAACTTTTGTAATGCGGATGCCAATTATAAATATTATGATAGCTAAATTTAAGCTTCTGTTTATTGCCAGAATTTCTAAAGTTATAATAAAAATTTAATAAAAAAATTATATTTTATTTACTGACATTTGCCAACTCAGGGAAGTCTTTAAAAAATTTTTAGAGTTAAAAAAAATGTATATCTTCGTAATTTTGTAGTTCAGATTAAAAAAAACATCTCCAAAAGTACAAAAAATTCTTTCCCTTTTTTTAATCTCAAGGTCTAACCAGCCTTTTTGAAATTAAAATTATTACCATTCCTTAGAAAAACGACATTTATTGTGATTTAGAATTCACCCTCGTTTTATTTTTCAAATTTCCTTTTTTTCTACCTCAACCTTAGAAATGCTTATTTTTGGGCAAAAAATAAATGATTTTCATGCTAACTTTGTATATTTCTAAAATGTGAGTACAAAATTTTAAGAAAATGGCTACTAAATACATATTATATCGCTAGAAAACATCCTAATCAGTATGGTAGGAGTATCCATAAATCCTCGTATAGTTCTTAAATTTTATGTAACCGAATTTTGAAAATAAACAAAGATATTGCTCTCTGTTAACATCTTAACATTTATCGGGTACCTACTGTAAAAAAAACTGTTAGATTTTAAACTGTCGAATGTGCAGCCCTGGAAAAAGCGACAAACCAGGGCTGCACTATCCGCTCCCATCAGCTGACGCCGCGCTTGAAAATCCTCCCCAAACCCAACAACAACAACAACAACAACAACAACCACGTCATGAAAATAATACTCGCCGAAGCAGGTGGGCCACGCCGGGGTGGGTGGTGGATGAGCTCATACGAAAGGGAAAAGAAACAAGTTTAGCTTTTTGGAAACGTAGCGACGGCAGCAGCCTCATTTGAACGCCAAACGCCATCGACGCCGGACCGTTGGAGCGAGAGAGCTTACATAGAAGAACGCGGACAGTGTGACAGAATCCCCACCATTGTGTGTGCGTGTGCGAGAACTACGATAGTGCCCTACCCGTATTATGAGAAATTTTCGTACAGCTCTTTCCTCTTACTAATTGGCAAAACCCGAAACCGAAAAACTTCTGTTACGTGGCCGCAGCGAGTGCATAAAATTTTTTCAACGCTAGTCAGCTAAGCTTCTCAAAAGACGCGTCTAATCGCCTCACTCACACTCGCGCCCCAGCCAGAAGCGACCGTTTCGATTTATTCGGTTTTTGTGTTTGGAAAACAAAACATCCAAAAGGAAAACAAAATCGTGGGGCGACCAAGAGAGGCCCAACTCTGCAGCGGGTAACAACAAAATCAATAATTGGCCCTGCGTCCGGTCCTTGAGTCTGTGTGAGTGTGTGTGCCTGAGTGTGCGTGGGCAACACTGTGAGAACAACTGGAGCAATGCCTTGCTGATTGATAGAAAAAATAGACAAACGGCAGGCGAATAGCAACAACAGAAACCAGAAAATCGCAAATTGAATTAAGGCCGAGAAAGATCCGCCATGCAGTCGGTACAATCGCCCGGTACACCTGTGAACAGTGCCCCGGCCAGTGCAGCAGCGGCTCCGCCGCCCACCGCCTCCCTCCCGGTCATTCCGTTCTCGTCCGGGGCCGCTCCAGCTGGAACTGGTGCCGCCAGCAGCACTCCGATTAGAATCAACAGCGCCAAGCATGCGGGGGGCGGTGCTGGGGACTCACTGGCGCCCTCTGCCGCCCATTCGCACTCGATGCCGGGAACCCCCCAGCAGTCCAGCAGCGTGCCCACCGGCAGCCAGCTGCCCCTCCCCCTGCCCACCGGCGGCGGAGGCTCGGTGACCCCGACGGCCCTGTCCATGGGCGCCTCCAACCAGTCGCTCGGCGTCAGCGTGGGAGCAGCCAGCAGTGTCAGCGGGATTAGCATCACGCCGCCCAACAGCGCCGGTCTGCGCCAGTCGACAGGTGAGTCCCGTCCGCCCCTGGCTTCTATATCGCTTTTCGATGTCGTTTTGCGTTCCATTTCTCGTGTTCTCTCGCTCGTCAATGTCATTCACACACACCTTCGAGTCTGTATCGCATTCAGTTGCCGATTCGATCGCTCGCTTCTGAATTAAATTCAAACGATTACCACTATCACACGCACAACTGCGGTCGAAAAAATGGCACAAAAAGGCGCGAGCGCAGATTGCAGTAACTTCCTTATCTGCACCGTGGATTGAGTTACTCTTGTTTTCATCCTGACTCACCCAAGATGGGCTGTACATTATTCCCCAACGTTCGTTCTGCACTCTGAATGTTTTGCCATAAATATTATTTTTATCGTACCGTTTAATTTATCTAGAAGTGTAGCTGTAAAGTTTTATTAGACCCTTATCACCCTTTATTTCGATGTATTTTTAGAATGGTTCATAATTGTTTTATGGGTTTTATGGCTATATAGTGTATATAATAAATATAATAAATGTGTTGCTCTTATTTTGACCGCATATGTAAATCAATATCGTTCTACGTTTGATTTTAATTCCAACTTCCGTATTCTGTGTTCCGCATATGGTGTGTGTTTTGATTACACTGCTCGTCTCTCATTTCAAAATCCAGCTCATCATCTGCCGAGCCGCCGCCCCCCAAACTTCCGTCCCGCCGCCTATGGGGGAACCGCCATAGGCTGTCGCCTAACACTCGGCTTTTGTTCGGCGTTTAGCGCGCTTCCGCTCTGCGGGTCCATTCATCCGTGCGAGATGCCGATGCTCCCTCCCCGCGGATGGTGTTAATTAATTTACCCACCACTTTTTGACTTTTAGCCCGACTGGTTGGGTTGCCAGGCCACGTATAGATACATAGCCGGGGGTTAGTACAGCCTTTGTGGCCCATTTCCATGACAATCGGACAATCCTCCACTTTTCATCCTAATGGAGCAATCAGTAGTGATGTATGCAGATTATCCAAGTAATTGAGTTAGTCCCCAGTCAAGATCGTCTAAATCCAGCTTACTAATCCAGATGACATAACTTTATATATAATTATTCTGTTGATTTTCTTGGAAAGCGATGAGATCAGAGTCCAGCTGCTTTTATTGACAGTATTGTTTGGTGTTTGTTTGTTTTAAGTTTACAGATTCAAGCAGGTTTATGATTTGTTTCTAGTTTTCTGTTTAGAACACATGCTATATTGATTCCCAGCCTTGAATGATAATGAAACTAGTTGCTAAACATTTAGATATTGAAATACTGTAGGCCTTCAAGTCCATTAGCCAATTATCGATTTGCATTCAAAATACAGCCGTTCGACGGCGTAAATATTCCTCGATAAATAAATTAGCTCCATTATAATTGAAAAGGACAGCTGTCCGGCAGTTGCTGAATTTTCAGGCCTCCAGGTGCCTTTTCCCTCCGCTTTCCATGCGCTTTATCGATTTGGAAACTTATCCGACTTTTGCTTTTTATTGGCCTGGCATGTGGGCTGGGCGGTCGGGCGGTCGGGCGGCCAGGTAACGAAAGCGACCAGGCCAGTGGGATTTTGCACACGCACCATTGCCCCGTTGCCCCGCTGTCTTTATTGTTTTCTTTATGGCGTGCAACTGTCATTAAAATTATTATTCGCATGCTGTATTACTTTATAGCCCAGATTTCAGTCGTTAATAGAGGTGACCTTCAATGCTTTTCAGTTTAAAGGAACTTTTTAAATTTAATTTTTATTTTAAAAATATTTTCAAAAATAACTCATCCGGCACGAAGTGCAGTCTGAAGTTCATTAAAGCGACCTTGCTCAGAATATTTTATTGCAATGTATTTAATGAGTTCTTAACCCCAAAAAGAGCGTGATATTGAGGTCCATCCTATTCTTCAACGAGCGGTATATTGTCGCAATTAGCTGACACAGCATTCCCACTCCTACTCACTACTTTCTACCCGAATACGACTTTATAATTGCCATTGTAGTCGCCTCGTCTTTGCTGTTTATTTTTGTGGCCCCCGGCCCCCTCAGTGGGTGTGGGCGGGCAGTGGCCCTGTCTTTGAGCGGTAAACTGCATGTCGTAAACGTTCGGGAAATCGGAAAAGCGCACACCTGCCACCTGCCACCTGCGCCTGCCAGTGCGGCATATGGAAAAGTATTCGCCGAAAGGGAAATTGCGTACAAAATAAATACGGAAAATCGATGCATAACTGTGATGTGTTTATATTCCGGGCTACTCTATACATTGGGAAAAACAGTTTCTTGAAATCGAAATATAAAGAATGGATGGACTAAATAAAGATTAAATTAAATAGGTTATATTTGGATTTAAATAACTATTAGTTATGCTCTAAGCACACCATAACTGATGGAATACAATGTAGTAGCAATGTTATTTAATGGTATTGTGGATAACCGAATATTTTTCTGTTTGAAACCAAAACGATATCACATGTGCTACCCAAAAACTAAGAAAGACTTTCTTAAAAAGAGTTTCAGTAGCCATAGTGACCCTAAACTTGCCACAAAAATAGCTCTTCCATTAAAAGCCAATCTTCAGCAAACCACGAGTTTCTACGAATGAATATAATAAAAGAAACTCTTCCAAACAAAGAAACAAGTTTTTGGAAAAGAGTATAGTATATCCCTTATAGTAGTATACTATACTTATATCATAGCATTAGTATTGGTATTCAAATAACTAGCGTCTTAAATTTTAATTGCAAGACCCTTATTATTTTATTGAATAACTTTTTTTTTATTACAATGATTACATTTTTTTTGCGGTCTTTCATAATTTTGGAATTGGGTTGTGCATCACAATTAGTGCATTCCTGCATTCATCATAAAGCTTAGAGGCCGAGTCGACCTAAAGGCGCTCGAGAAACGATTTATTATTATATATTAAGCTATTTTTTATTTATTAAGCTAAGAGGAGTTAGTAAGAAAATTTAAATTACTAAATTTTAAATTTGAAGGACCGGAAAGAGATGTTATAGAGTGGAGACCATTGTAATCCGAACATAAGACCCTAAAAGGGCCGTGCTGTGGATATGTCGATTTACAATGGCTAAGGAATAGAGGACTAAAGTTTCTAGTCCTTCTACTTCAAATCCTAGCTATTAACAGAATTGTAATATAGTTTTAAAAATATTCATATGATATAAGGGTATTTGTCCTTTTTTAATCAAAAAGAGAAATGTTTTTTACTTAAAAAGACCAGTTTTATAAACTATTTTGCACTTACATATATTTAGCTAAAAAATCAATATAAAAAATGTTACTTTTGTGTTTCTGGAGCAAAAGATTCAGTTAAAAGGTTCACTATTATTTTTTCCATCACTGTATTATAGTTTCTTTTTATCTAAATTATGTTTTTTAAATTATTACTTATAAATTTAATTATCGAACTAAATATAAATGAGATTATGTTAGACTTCCAATAAAAATAAATTTAAAAATATAATTTATAAACTCCGCAAAATAGCTGGAAAAGTGCATGCCCATGTCCACCTGGCCAGGCATTATTTTTGCGCAGTTCTCTTGTTTTTGAAGATGGATAGCGAGTAGTGGGGGCAGGAGGTCAGTTGGAGGACCTTCGTCCTCTTCTTCACGCCCACCTCGCAGCGCGCCGAGTTCTATTTTTGTTTTGGCGGAAAATTGTGAGCCCCCACTCCAAAAGGTCAAAAGTGAGATGGGCTGGCAGATGCAGCGGGCTTACTGCTCTTCGCACCACCGGGAATCTGCCGGCTAACGGGATTTACATCCGAATTTGCATACCCAACGAGTCCATGATTGGGAGCCATACCTCTTGCCGAGGTGTGTGTGAGACTGTGAGTGTATGTGTGCTTCGATGAATATTTTAAAGCATGCTTTTGGGCAAATTACTCGGCAATAAATAAACCATGCGAGAGGAAGGAGCAAAATGGCAAACAGGATGTGGTCGAGTGGTATTTTGTGTTGTCCACTAATATTGATATCCCGAGTGGAGTTTCCACATCGATGTGTGTGACCCATTCGGACTATGAGCCGCAGGCACAACATTACACACACGTTCCAGCCCCAATGGTTGGCCCACAAACTAGTAATTGGATTACGTAAAAAGAAGCAACAAAATATGGTCGGGCTTTTTGGCAGGGAGGGGTGCCAGCGGCCATTTGGAGCGGCGCCATTATAGCGGCCAAAAGTGACGTCATGTTGGCCGGGCCCAGTGGGGGAACTCATTGCAGTCGCGCTGAGTTGCAACTTGCAGTGTCTTGGCTGACATCCTTTGGCCGGAGACTTACTGTCTTGCCACACGCGAAGGCTCTAACATGGTTCTTGCTCACTGAGAAAAGTTTTAAATAATAACAGATAGATATTTAAGACTTTACTTAATCTTAATAGTTGGCCTTATTTCTCCACGTGCCTGGCCTGAACTTTGAACTATTCGAGAGCTAGGAAGGCGTGTTCTAATTGCTGGAATTGATTGGCTGCCAGGCGTTGGCGCTTTATTTAAAATCAATCAGTGCCATGGTATTGTGTGGGCCATCTTATCGTCATCCGTATCTGCATCGCCATCGCCATTCCCATCGCCATATCCAGCAGCAATCTTAATTACCAGCCAGCCAGTCAGTCTCTTGGGCGCCTCCTTGGCGCTCCTCCAGGCTCGGCCGAGCTCCTTCGTGGCGCTCCCATGTCCGATAGCAGACAATTGATGAGTCCATGATGAGGCCATAATTAAGTTCGTAATGGCAGTGGCTGTGCTGCGAGGCGTCGGCCCAAGGCTTCGTTACGCCTGATTGGATCAAGTGGCCAAAGGCTCAGTGCGTTCAAGGATGTTCCACTCCCAACTAGGCACTTGAGGGCTCAGTTGATTGAGTAACTAGCTCTCACTATTTCGAATGGTTAATGGGTTTTATGTGTTTTCAGATCTTAAATTCTTTTTAAGTGTGTTGGTTTTTTTATTTTCTCTCTGTGTAGTTTCTTTATGTTTCCTCGTGTGCGTGTCACCCTCCCCAAGTACCCAAGTACCTAAGTAGTAGTCTTTGGTTTTGTCAACTTTTCAGTGTCTAAGTGTCGTGCGTATGTGCCTAAAGCTGTCCAGTGCCAGTGTCCTTAGATCTATAAACCTATAATCCTATATAACATATATTATCTATATACATATTGCTCGCTTTCTCTTTCTCCCCCTATATATACATGTGTGTGCCGCTAACCGCTCCTCAGTATTCGATTTCAAATTCAAACGGCGACCCTCGCTGAAAGTGCTCATGACCAAGCTCCCCTCCACGGACAGTCTGAGCAACAGTCCGGCGCCATCATCGCCAGGTGAAGTTTTAACCAAAATCACTACAAAATTCCAGCACGGTTAGATACAGTCTTGATCATCCCACATACCATTTATCATTTACAACAAGTAGAATCCTCACATATCATAGAAAAGATAGTTTGTAGTGGTTTTTAAGTTGATTCTTTAGTTGATATTCAGATTATATGAATGATGACAATTTTTACTACCTGTGAGATCACATCCTGTGAGACTAATTGGAGATTAAAATGCATTTCTTGACTTCATAAACATCACCAAGCACCCATCATCTGGTCAGAATCTTTTGATTTTTGCTTTTATTTTCGCGATCGGCACGTTTGGCAGCAGCTCATGGCTATTATCTGAGCCGCAGGCCGAATGCAACATGGCTAAAAGGCGCATTTGCATGCAGTGCTCATATGCCAGCCCCCTGGCCGGCGTTCCCATTCTGGTGTGACGCACTTCGCCTTTTATTTTTGTGTAGAGCTTTTGTGTGGCTCTACTTTCCTGCCATTGTTTTTGGCGCATTATTATCAAACGATTGCGGGGCGCGAGTGTGTTGTTAATAATACCCAGAGTGCCCGCCACTCACAGCTCTGAATGCTAATGCTGATCATATCTTATCACGCCGGTTATGACATTCATTAATATTTTACAGTCAGTTCGCTCTGCACTTTGATTAGGATCCAATTCGACTAATCGGTTTATTGGTGGCAAGTAGAACCGGTACAGGATTTCCCAAGGGGCCTCGGGAAGGACGGCCTGACTCATCCATGCGTCCATATCTGTAGTGCCTTCGATAAGGTGCTCCCTGACATGTTCTGATTTCAGCCATGAGTAATCGCCGAAGTTTAGATATCGCCTTCAAACACCTGGTGTACTTTTGATCCCCCACCTTTCCTCCACTTTTGATCCCCCACCTTTCCTCCACCGCATTTTAATAATCTACAGGTGTACGCCCAGCATAAAGGGGACTTAGTTTGGGGGTTTGAAAGGCTTATCAGGGTGACATAATTGTGATATATTTTGCAGGTGCTGTCATGGATGGCTTTCGCTCAAGGATAGTCCCTGCGAGGGAGTACTAGTTTAGCACTTGATTGGGATAGGTTAGGATGATCTTATCGGGGGAACAAAGCCCCAAGCTTTCCCACCGTTTCTCGAAGATGAGATCATGTAGCAGGGGGACTGGCTAATAACAAGCTCGTAGCTACTAGCTCTCCCTCCACAGTGCGTGCTTGTCTGTTTGGGAGAGCCTAGTTGGCGTTGATATCGTTATCTGAACAGCGAAGCACACTTTGTATCTACGTATCTAGCCAGCGCTCTGCTGGCGTCGGCCGAGGCAGAGACTCGGCTGAGGGCGGCCACATCAGAGATGATCCTCTGCATATACTTCTTGGCTATGAAAGCATTTGTATTCCCATTTAAAAACAAAACAAAAGCCATTATGGCAAAAGCCAGATAATTGTTTGGGCCGCTCAGCTTTAGTATCTGCTGCCGCGCTGCCACTGCCACTGCCACTGCCGCTGTCTCTGCCTCTGGCGCTGCCCCGCTGCTTTTGTCATCTGCCGCTGGCGCTTTTTGTTGTTGGCGAGTGTTGGGCTTTGTGCGCGAGCGTTTCGGCAGGGCAGAGACTCAATATATCTCAATCAGTCGGCGAGCGGCCAGCGGACGAGCGGCAGGCGAGAAATCAACAAACAGAACAGAAGAATTTTCGGCGCATCACGCATACGCCATGTAGTGCCGCCCTGTGGAACCGCGAGCAAAACAAAAGACACAAACGGCGAGAGGAATATGCGAAAGGGGCAGTTGCAGCTCTCTGACTGGCCATGAATCTGCTCCAAAGCAAGTGACAACTCCTAACTCGCCTTTCCGCGAGGAATCGCAATTAATTAATTAACGAGTGTCGCGTGGGTGTGAGTGAGGCTGTGACTGTCGCTGTGTGGGATGTGTGTGATGTGCATATTAAAATATACTCACTCGTTTTTGGGAGACCTTTATTTTTAGCCAAGCAATAAAAATAATTAATAAGAATGTGGAATACACGAGCCGTTCGGCCACTGCAAGTGCGAGGCACTTGACAAAGAGACCCCGGAGCGGAGAGTCTTCCGCCGCGGCGAGTGCCTTGCGAGATAAATTAAAACATATTCGTAAAATAAATAAGACGCCGCCCCTCTGACCCTGGGCACCGTCCGCCCCACCCCTTGGACTACATCGCACCTTGGGGCCTTGCTGGCCGAGTGTGCGTTTCTCTCGCGTGCTCTGTCTGACCCGACCCGGCCATCGCCTTGTTTTAGTTTTCATTTAGTTTTCGCGCTTTTCCCGCATTGATTTGATTTTGTTTCTGGATCGTAAATAGGCGATGGAATAGTCTCCAAAAACAAGCCACTTTGTCGGGGCTAGATCGATTTGGGAACTAAACAAACAAGTAAACAGTCACCATGCCTCGAAATCACACTCGGCAACGACTCTCTTCAAAAGCCTCCTAGAAAAATAATGCAAATAACTATGATTTTCCGTGTTTCAGGAATCGCCAACTGGGCCTCAGACAATCGGGATGGAAATCTGGCAGATAAGGCAAGTAATCCCCAAAGAAAACCTCCGGCCCGAGCCAAAATCTGGGTCACCATGGGCTGATAAGGGCCGTTGTCTAATTTAGTTATAATCGATGTGCTTCGGGCCAGATAAACAGTCGTGAAAATAGTTATAAACATTGGAGGGTCAGACCTCCCGAAACACGCCACGTGCATGTATTTCTGACATAAAAGTGACAAATTTTTCAGCTAAGCAAATTATAAATGCTAATTAGATTAACAATGCGTTTCGAACTTCTCGCCAAAAAAAACTCAAAATTAAAAGCTTCGCCGGGCAATTGTCGGCGGGCATTTGACGTAATCGCAAGTCGAAATTAGAGTCACATCGCTGATATGTACTTCAAGTATTTCAATATTTTTAGCGGCTGCAGAAGACGAAAGGTCCCCTCTTCTTAAGTCTATGGTTTGAAGTATTTTTAATTTGTTTTTGATTTTTCTTTAAATTCCAACAGTCAGCGGCCGAGGCTGCCAAGCTTAATCGGAAGGAGTCCTACAAGGCCCAGAGGAAGAACTACAGACGCGAGAAGAAGCGAGTGGCCAGTGAAATGATGAACTCGCTCCAGGATCCGGCAGTGATCGTACTGGCCGACTGGCTGAAGGTGGGTTGGCATTTAACAACATAATTCAACCTTACTTAAATCTAAAATCTTTGTAGGTGCGAGGCACTCTCAAGTCCTGGACAAAGCTGTGGTGCGTTCTGAAGCCAGGACTGCTGCTCATTTACAAGAGTCAGAAGACTAAGAGCAGCCACTGGGTGGGCACAGTCATGCTCACGTCCTGCCAGGTCATAGAACGCCCCAGCAAGAAGGACGGTTTCTGCTTCAAGCTCTTCCATCCTTTGGAGCAGTCCATTTGGGCACCGCGCGGACCTGACAAGGAGACCATCGGTACTAGACCCCTATCCTAAGACTAAATAAAAATATTGACTATTCCATGTTCTTGCAGGAGCTGTGGTCCAGCCGTTGCCTACGGCTTACCTGATATTCCGGGCCCCCAGTCAAGCGGCTGGCAAGTGCTGGATGGACGCCTTGGAGCTCTCCCTGCGATGTTCTGCCCTCCTGCTGCGCTCGAACAGCAGCACTGGGGCAGCGCCCTCATCCAGCTACGTGGGCGATCCGTTACCGGTCTCCCACGAGACCCAGTGGTCGGAGGCGGACTACGAGAAGCACTTCAACGAACATGGTAAGTGGGCCCAGTTCCTGGCTCTGCCGCCATCTGATGCGGTGGACACCTCTCGCTCCGACACGAGTCTGTCGGCATCTGGTCGGGCTGCGACTCCGCTGCTTCAGCAGCTTTACAGCAGCGCCGTGAGCAACTGGGAGCGCACCAGGCGGCTGCCGCGTTTCGGCCAGCAGTCCCAACAGCGAAAGACTTCGTACAGTGACGCCTCCAGTGTGGAGCACGGCATGGGGACCATGGGAATGGGTCAGCGCAGGCGTCACCACCTCAGTCCCATCAGCAAGTCCATGTCCTTAGGGGCCACACTGTGCAACAGCAGTTCCAGTGACGAGGATGACGACGACTATGCTCACAGCTCGCAGAGTGTTTTGCGGCCAGTCAGTGCTCCTCCGGACTGTCTGATACTGCCGCAATTTCGTCTGAATGTCAAGGGTGAACAACGAACGCCCCTTTTATTTTCGATGTGTTTCATTGGGGATACCACATGGCTCTAATAGTTTTCGTAATTGCTGCCTTTGTTTTCCTTTTCAAACTTCAGTTGCTTGTAGCTTCATGCAAATTCAAGAAATAATAGATCTAATGATACAATGTGGTTTTCCCCGGAAGTTAGCTAGAGATCATCAGACATTCATACGCAACAGTAGACTTTTCATTAATTGTTCAAAATTAATTTTTTTTGTATATTCACCGCCCGGAGAAACTCCCTTTACATTATCCTCACTCCTTTGGTCAGCCTAGACGCTATTGAACCCTCACAGTATCCTGCTTTCTGGCCGCGGGGTCATGTCCGGGTCTTTGCTAGACTGAAGCGGCTTGACAAGCGTCCGTGATGCAACTCCCATCTTCCTCCTAATCTTGATCTTATCGTTGCGTTTGTGATTCTAGATCTGGATGCAGACAGTCAGAATGAAGCACCCAACGCTGTCATGTCCGGTCTGGAGTCTGAATCGGAGTCCGATGCCGCCGAGCAAGTTCAGGAGGACGGACCAGAACAATGTCAGGAAACAACCTACGTGCCCATAACCGAGGAGGAGTTTGGCGAGGTGACCTCTTAATACCTTTTTTCTGAGAGGACCATTTTTAAATAATTGAAATGGCATTTTGTTTTTCAGCAGCAAGGAGAGCAGGTAGAGGAGTTGGCCGAGGAGAACAAGAGTTTGATCTGGTGTATTGTCAAGCAGGTGCGACCCGGAATGGACCTGAGCAAGGTGGTATTGCCCACCTTTATCCTGGAGCCGCGCTCCTTCTTAGACAAGCTCAGCGACTCTTACTACCATGCAGACATTCTCTCCAAGTAAGCTTACATCGTCAGCTTCAAAAGTAAACCATTTACTGACGATCTTTCACTTCTAGGGCCGTCCACGAAGATGACGCCTTCACGCGGATGAAGCTAATAGTCCAATGGTACCTGTCGAGCTTCTACAAGAAGCCCAAGGGCTTGAAAAAGCCCTACAACCCGATTTTGGGAGAGCGGTTCCGCTGCTACTGGCAGCACCCCACCGGCAGCCGAACCTTCTATATTGCCGAACAGGTCTCGCACCACCCTCCAGTTTCTGCTTTTTACGTGACGAACCGGGAGGACGGCTTCAGCATCACCTGCTCCATCCTGGCGAAATCGAAGTTCTACGGCAACAGCACCTCTGCGGTGCTAGAAGGCGCTGCCACCATGACGTTGCTGCCGCGCGGTGAATGCTATACGGCCTCCACGCCGTACGCCCACTGCAAGGGCATTCTAATGGGCACCCTGTCGATGGAACTCGGGGGCAAGATAAACATCGAATGCGAGAACACCGGTTACAGGACGGAGCTGGAGTTCAAGCTGAAGCCATTCCTTGGCGGTTCGGATGCCACGAATGTAGTAGTTGGCAAGATCAAGCTGGGCAAGGAGACCCTGGCCACGATCTCGGGTCACTGGGATAAGGAATGTCGTATTAAGGATTCCAAAACGGGCGAGGAAACGCTGCTATTCCGGGCAGATGCTGAGATGCGTTCCAAACGTCTAACGCGGTATTTGGTTCCTCTCGAGGAACAGCAACCATTCGAATCGCAGCTTCTATGGCAGCGTGTCTCGGATGCAATCGCTCGTGAGGATCAGGTGGCGGCCACCGAGGAAAAGACGGTGCTGGAGGAGCGCCAGCGTTCAGATGCCAAGGAACGGGTCAGTACAGATTCCCAATATATACCTGGTATTTTTGAGCTCGACAGCTACGGCCAGTGGGTGTACAAGTACGCGGATCTGCGTCCATGGGACTCACGGAATGATGTGCGCCAATACGAGTGCGACTACAAGGTGCTCACCCAGACGCGTCACAAGTCCGTGCCGATTATCCACGGAGCCGAACTAATGCATCCGCTGCGTCCATCCCTCGAGACCATATCACGCAGCCAAAGACAATCAAACGCCGGGCAGGGTACTCAGCCGGGCGGTGCAGCGGCCCCCAAGGCCAAGAACAAGAGCCTGGTGCTGGCGCCACGCGACACCAACTCTGACTCCAGCCAGTCGCCCCAGGGCGCTGTGAAACGGAGCTCCACCAGTGCCATCAAGCAGTGAGTGTTATTTTAAATTGTTTATAGAACATTTATTGAACTTCCGCTTCAGACTCGCGCTGGCAGTTGATCAGGTCAACCGGGTTCTGGAGCAGCACACACGGCAGCTGAACGAGATCAGCCAGCGGCTGGAGCGGATACAGTACGCTCCGACGTCTAGCAATATGAGCATGCAGTCGCAGCACCTGTGGGGCGGAGGGGTGTCCCAATCCACTGTTTTCAAATCGCTTATCTACGCCGTGATTGGCCTGGTCGCCAGCCTCATTCTGCGCTGGCTCTTCAAATAGAGCTAAGGATTCGGGGAGTCGTTGTTGATGTAGTCTTGTTTGAACTTCAGGAAAAAAAAACACTTGGAAAAACCTTCAGTTAACATCATATACAGCTATATATATTATATAAAACACCCTAGAGTACATTCGATATATGCTTTACTGAACTGTATATTTCGGTCCCACTCAAATGCCTTCGCACGCTGCCAGAGATTGGTCGACCCCAGGCCTGAGTCCAGGCACGACCCGGAACGTCTAATCACGAACTATATATTCATAGGCTAATAAGTGTTTGTCTTATATTATAGATATAGTAAGTCTTAATAATCCAAGTCGCTCCCACAGACAGTGTCCATGTGCGGTCCGTTTCCTTTAGACTGGGTAGTCTGGGTAGGTTAGGATATACGCATATACATATTATATTTATACATAAACACATAAACACACATATATACGATTAGTTGCACCAGATTTCGTAAAATTCCAACTTAACCGATGCTACTATTTTAGCTAGTTCGCTTATTTTCCTTCCGATTCTTTATGTAACTACCAAATTGAACAAAAATGCTCGAGAGGCTCTCTGCCCTTCGCAACACACACATTGCGTACACTGTGCAAAATACCTTAGTGATTTAATACGAAAATGCTTATAGTATTTACATGTAGTATCAATTAAACAAAACTTGATTTTCCTTTTTCCCAAAAACCTGCAAAATATCTTCTGAGAAACGTAATAAATTTCCCTTTTTCAAGTCAAATTGGATGCGTTTTCGTGGGTGGTTACCTAAACCTTTTCATAAGAAAATATACCAATACTCGAGGGGAGCTTCTTTACTTTGTAATGTCAAAAAATTAGGGATGTCGGAAATATATCAAAATATCAATATATCGATATATTTTCTCTTAAAAAAAATATTATTATCGGAATATTTTTTGGGCAAAAATAGTCGATAATAATATTTTTGAGTTGGTATTTCCGATATTTTATGTTTGGTCACTCTTAAGCCAGAAATTGGCATTAAGTTATCTTATCACGCCTGGAAGTTCGGTTCCATCTGAACGGTTGGCTTCTGTCATTAAATGTATTGTCTGTGACTCCCGTAGTCGAATGACAGACCAGCATATAACCGAAAGAATTCCATGAATTCCATGAAACTTTTTTTTTTGTATTAAGTTTTTTTTATAAATAAATTTGAATACAATGTCCTTAATAATTTTGTTATTTTTTATTTCAAGGAACTTATATAAAAGTTGCTTGAGAGTGGGTATAAATATTTGTTGTTTTTTCAATTCACTTTTTAAATAAAAAATAGCTCTTATTTGCAGTTCATGGCGGATGAAAACACATATTAAAACCTTTTTTTAAATTTACAAACCACCTTTTTTCAATTTTAGCTGACCATAAAAAATATCAAAAATACTCGATATATCGATTTTTTTTGGTGATATTTCTTAATATTATCGATTGATATTTTTTTCACAGCAAATATCATCAATACGATATTTTTTCAAAAACCAACAACCCTACAAAAAATCAACTTATTTTTTTGCGTTTCCGGATAGATGCATGATTTAGTTTTAATCTTCCAAAATTTGAGGCAGAATCTTAAATTACGAGAGTTATCGACAGTTTGCTCGGCCCGTGTCCTACAGATCGCCAAACTTGAGCAATCGTCATGTGCATACCAGCTACCAGACTTTACTGAAATTATTGAAAATTGTGTATTAAAAAAAATAATAAGAAACAAAGGAAAAATAAATTTTTTTAAATTTTATAAAAATTTAATTAAGATATATAATACTTGTTACTGCTGAAAGATAAATTCAATCAGTATGGCTGAAAAAAACATAAATTCATAAATTAAATTTTATTTAAATTTGATTCTTTGGTTTTATCCCTTGTTGTTTGTTAGGTTAGACAAAAAAAAATTATAAGAAAATAAGGTTGGCTCTTTGTGCATAAAATTAAATTCAATTTGAGATATTATTGATAAGAGTTTAAAAAAAGTGGTTTCGAAAAAAACGTTTAAAAAATGTTGGGTGAACGTACCCCACTGCATGTGACAATATGCTCGAAAAAGGTGTGTCGCATCGAACTATCTTTTGATATATTTAAAAGATAGGTAACTTTCATATTTGCAACAAAGGTATGAGAATTACGTAAAATTCCCTTACGTAAAATTCAACTATAAGTCAACTTATAGCGATAATCGAGGAGATAGCAGTGAGTGGCATTAAGGGAAAGGTTAAGTTAAACAATTTATGTGTTCAGATAAAGATATAAGAATAGAGGTTTGAAGCTTCTAAGGGAAAATGCGTTAGAAACTCTTATAGTTTGAACATAGTACTCATCGAGGATCATGCTGGGAACATATTACCTTTTAAACTTTGTTGTTTCCATTTATCTCTAATCAGTTAGGCTCATATTTAAAGTTGTAATTAAAAACAGATTTTAAAGTTTTCTTTCTGTATCTTTTATTATTGTGTTTTAGCTCATCGCTTCGCTTACATTTACAAGTAGTTTATATATATATTTTGTATATATACTATATATTCTCTACAACATTTACGATCATTCTGTCAATTCAATAGCTGGTATTACTCGCTTTCTTCACCTCTCATCTCGTTTCACTTAATATAGGGACTCGTTTGCGTTCCGTTTTCTAATTTAATTTTACGTTTTGTTCTATAAGCAACCCGGTTTGCAATCAATAGTTCTTTAAATGTATTATTGATTATTTTATGCGATCGCCTTTGCTCCGCTGTAGTCATGTTGAGTAGAAGATGCTGCTAAATATGCGCTAAGAGTACACTTATATGAATAGTTGGTTTTCTCCGATCATGCCGTTATGTAAGTTTTAGAGCGGGCGGGGTTACACACAGTATAGCAATAACTAGTTTTACTTTTTAATTCATTTACTTTACTTTGCTGGCGGGCTTAACATTTAACACGACGAGAAAAGCTGAGAGAAGCCGGTACTCGGAACTTATAGGAGAAGGTCAGAAGGGATGGGAGGATGGGGAATTCGGGTGACAACAGTTGCAGTGAGGGACACCACTATGGTAGTCTCTAGTGCGGAAAGTAATCGTTGCACAACCCACAACAATTTGGTCTTATAAGCGATAAAACAAACAACAGATATCGTAATCGCCGCACGAGGCTCCTGAACCGCTTCCTTTTAGGAAATAAAATATGTGTTGAGGGCCAAATAAAAAATTTGAATATTTTCTAGCTTTGATTTTGCGACATATACTAAAATATAAATCAAAAATGTACAATTAAAATGAGCTATGAAAATCGGTTTACCCACAACCTGTAACACATGTTGCTGGCTGGTAAAGTATTTTAATGCTTTTAAAGGGAATAAATATTTATGATTTAGCATTTTAATATTCATCACTTCGGCTAGGAAACACAGCTAAAGGGGCTTACTAACATAGTATATAGGCGTGTAATAGAGACTAAACTGTTGGAACCTGTTCAAGGATTACTTTTTCAGACACCCACTGAAATCGACCCACCCAGAGAGGAGAGGTTAGAGCTATAGGCTTAAACACCCTGTATCATTTCATTCGTGGCTTATGCGAATTCGGTTAGCCTTAATTTACAATTGGACACGCATGTGGATCAGCTCTCTACGATATATAGTTACATACAATTGCGCTCTGCACAGCAGGTAAATAACACTTTCGAGTATATATTCAAATATAGTATTCATGTAATCATCGTATTCGTATGCCGTATTATGCGATCTCTAAACTGTACGTGCTATGTGGCATTCATATTGCACTATTCCTCAATGGCTGCTTGACTGGCTGGCTGGCTGGCTGGTTGTGACTGCTCGTTCCGGCAGGTGCTGCTGGTCCAGGTGTAGGCTTAGCAGGTGTGCACCCTCAGATGGTTCTGCAGCGTACTCTTCTGCCGGAACTGTTTGGGGCAGTAGGAACAGTTGTAGGGCTTTTCCCCGGTATGGATCTTCATGTGGTTGTTGAGCGTAGCCACCTGCCGGAAGTTGACCTCGCAGATCTTGCACTTGTATGGCTTCTCGCCCGTGTGCGTCTTGATGTGATTGACCAGGGTGCTCTGTTGCGAGAAGAATCTCTGGCAAACACTGCAGCCAAACGGTCGGTCTGGATTATCGCCCTTCAGCATGTGTATCGTGCCCACCACGGTCATTCGGCCAGGCGGTGATCCCCCGCCGCCACCACTGCCGCCGCCCTGGAACGGTTCGACTTTAGTGTTGGCGGCTGCCGCTGCTGTCGCCACCACCGAGCTAACCGTGGTGCTGCCATCGAGGAAATGAAGCAGTGGATGATGGTCCAGCTGGATGATGTTTGGCGTGCTGCCATGCAGGTTGTTCGGCAATAGTCCACTCGTCAGTTGTTGCGTTCCGGGCGCCAGAGGAGCGGGCATTGAGTGATCCACTGCAGATTCAAGGATTGGAGTTGGTGAAGATTCGATCAGATGGAAGGAGTGGCATGCGTACAAGATTTAAATAAAAGCTTCGTTAGGGAAGAGCGTTAATAATCAATACACACAGTGGATAAACAGAAAGCGGCTCATTGGTAGGGCGAACACACAAGCGGCTCACCTGTGGCTGTTACGGCGCCTCCACCACCACCTCCTCCACCGGCGCCAGCCCCACCGTGGGCGAGCTGGTGCGTATGCGTCTTGAGGTGGTTGGTGAGAGTGCTCTGCTGGCGAAACTGCATGTGGCAGTAGGAACACGTGTACGGCTTGTCGCCCGTGTGGATCTTCTTGTGGTTGGCCAGCGTTGCCAGCTGGCTGAAGGACTTGTCGCACGTCTCGCACTTGTAGGGCTTGGGATCGATGTGGGTACGCTCGTGATTATGCAGCGTGCTCAGCTGTGGGAAGCGGCGCTTGCAGACGCTGCACTGGTACGGCTTCACCAGCTCCTCCGCCGCCGGAGAACTATAGCTGCCGGAGTACAACGTCTTTGAGATTTGAACTCGCTGATGCTGTGGCTGATACGCCTGATGCATCTGCGACTTTCGGTGCTTGCCGCTCGGCTGCGGCTGATAGTTCAACAGGGAGGTGGGCGTGCTGGACTCCGCCGCTGTTCCGAAAGAGGAATACAGGAATAGATTAATCAGAAAGTCCAACAGACGAAAGCATACTTACCCTTGTGCGTCTTGATGTGATTTATCAGCGTGCTTTGTTGGCGGAAATCCTTGGCACAGATGTTGCAGGTGAAGGGTTTCTCGCCGGTATGGATCTTCACGTGATTGGTCAGCGTCGAGATCTGGCGGAAGGCTTTGTCGCAGTGCTTGCACTTATACGGCCGCTCATCCGTGTGGATCTTCATATGGTTGCGTAAGGTGGTCAGCTGCCGGAACTTGTTCTTGCACACGTGGCACTGCTTTTTCTTGCGCGGATCATCTACCACCACCTCCTCCTCGCTGATCACACTCTGCACCTCCTGTTTCATCGGCGATATGGGTGTGTGATTTCCTCCGCCGCCGCCACTATTCGTTGTGGTAGTGGAAATATCCAGCAGGTGGACAAGCGGATGTTGTGGATGGAGCATGGCCTGGTGGGTGGGATGCTGGATGGCCTGCACGGCAGTTAGTTGGTGCAGGGCGAACGGGCTCTGCTGCAAGCTGGCCAGCGTGGCGGGTTGCTGCAAGCCAGCGCCCCCACCGCCACCACCACTGCCGCTGCCACCACCCCCACCCCCACTGCCTCCTCCGCCACCGTTTCCACCACCCCCGCCTCCACCACCGTGGTTCGCTGGCAGCTGGTAGTGCTGGTAGGTGGCCATGGCTGCTGTGGCGGCGGTCGCATGGTTCAGATGCATGGCGGTTCAAGAGCTATTCGAGATTTGTGTTTTAGCGCTTCGTAGTTATACAATGGTGGCCACTCCGTAAGCCCTCGGCCATGCCCACTCGGACCCTTCCCCCCGCGCGCTACTTCTCTACGCCTCCTGCTCCACACCAGCACGACCACCACCTCCACCAGCACTCCCCGGGCTTTTTCGATTTGTTATTTTAGCTGTCTGCACTGTTTTCTGCTTTTGCTGGTGCTTCTAGTTTTGTCACTTCTCCTCTTCTTCTCGCACGCTGATACCACGTTGGCTGGGGAAAGCGCGAATGTGTGATAAGTGGATCGGGCACCACCTGACACACAGTTTGCACCGATTCGGGCTCGGATCGTGGCTTTTTCTTGCTGGTTTCTGCAAATTTTCCAGGCCACGCTCTTTTTGTATCCGTATCCTTATCAAAACAAAAATGACTGGCGTGGTTTTCCAGGGCTGGGCTAACAACAGAGCTGCATTGATAATACATCGATATATCGATGCCAATTATATGTTTATATCGATATATAAATATATCGTAGGCAGGGCTGCGGAGACAGTTTGAATTAAAATTCAAAATCAATTAAAATTATAAAAATATATTAATAAAATAAATATGTATATAAAATATATGAAGTTTTTTTTTTTAATACTTCCCCTGTTTTTAAAAGCATTTTTTTAAATTCATAAATAGTGGCTATTAAACTATCGCTCAGTCTATCGATACCTGAGGCAACGGATTGATGCGGTTTCAGGTCAAAGGGAAACGTAAACCAAAACAAGACGGATATTCTGAAGCTAATACGCAATTTACGATTCTATAGCCATCCCAGGCTACGAACTACTACCACCATGAGCAAATCCGACAAGAAAAAGGACGAAAAAACATCACAGGCTACCCATTTCTCATCTAGCGACGAAGACGAAGGCGGAGAAGGTTTGTGTTCAAAACATTGAGAAATGCTTCTACTGTCACTGAATATCAAAATACGATTCCAGATAAAGCCACAATGGATATGATTCGTCGCTTCTTTGCACACACATTGAATCTGGGCGGCTCCGTGGACGAAAAAGAAGACCTCAAAGTGGAGAAAGTGAGGAATGTATGAATGTAATCTAATTATTAACTAAATGGAAATCTTTCAAGGTTATACCCGACCTGTCCTTTGAGGGCTTTGCCGCTCATTGGCGAGAGCATGGTTTCCGGAAAATAGTGACAATGGTGGGAGCTGGAATTTCCACCTGTACATGAAGCTATGAAAACCAAAGTATTTGCATTACAAAATATTCCTTTTTCAGCTGCTGGCATTCCGGACTTTCGGTCGCCTGGTTCAGGGCTGTACAGCAACCTAAAGAAGTACAAATTGCCGCATCCAACGGCTATTTTTGACTTGGATTACTTTGAGACGAATCCGGCGCCCTTCTTTGCCTTGGCCAAGGAGCTGTACCCAGGATCATTTATTCCGACACCGGCACACTATTTCGTCAGACTGCTCGACAAAAAGGGTCTGCTGCAGCGTCACTATACACAAAACATCGACACCCTTGATAGGCTGACGGGTCTGCCCGAGGAGAAGATTATAGAGGCGCACGGCAGCTTTCACACCAACCACTGTCTGAAGTGCCGCAAGGAGTACGACATGGCCTGGATGAAGACGGAGATCTTTGCCGATCGACTTCCCACCTGCAAGGTCTGCAAGGGTGTGGTCAAGCCAGACATAGTTTTCTTCGGAGAAAACCTTCCCGCGAGTTTCTACGAGAGTCCTGAAGAGGATTTCCGTGACTGCGATCTCCTCATCATAATGGGAACTTCGCTGGAGGTTCAACCGTTTGCTTCGCTAGTCCAGCGACCCGGTCCACGATGCGTTAGGCTCTTGATCAACCGTGATGCAGTGGGGCAGGCTAGCTTTGTGCCTTGGATGAACCCCCAGGAGCAATCGCTTTCCTATGGCAAGCCGAACAATACGAGAGATGTCGCCTATTTGGGAGACTGCGACGCCGGAGTATTGGCCTTGGCCAAAGCGCTTGGATGGGATGATGAGTTGCAGCAACTCATTGCTAAGGAAAAGGGGAAACTGGTGAAGAAGCAGCCGCAAAGGGAGAGTGGGAAGGGTCAGGATGATGAGCCGTCGACTGCGACTAACAAAGCAAAACCACATTCAGACAAGGATGATAAGGCTTCCAGCAGCGGCCGCCACAGTAGGACCTGAGATTAGTTAGTGCAATTCGTAGTTAATTTGTAGTTTCGTTTCCAAGAGTGCAATTTGTTTACATGGATAGAATAAAGCTGACAATGCCATGTGCAGTATCAAGCTAAGCCGTAACCCGGTGCGCTTCATTTCATTTCGCCCCGTGTGTGTTTTTCTCTCCCGTTTCCGGCTTTCAATTATTCAAGTGCCATTTGTGAGCCATTAGCGTGTCCCTTTTGACCGAGCCACCATAAACCGCAAAAACTGATTGAGTTCCTCTGCCGTTTCCGGAGCGCACAAAAAGCGGCAACCGCCAACAAAGGTTAACTCTCGACATGTTTCTGTTTCAGGTTTTGGATTCGGATTCCGATTCAATCCCGTTCCCGTCCCTGCCTCAGTCCACGTTTACGCCCCGCTTGACATCATCATCAACCGCCACGACGCTGTGGGCGTGGCATGTGGCATTCTAACTGCATGTTTGTGGGGCAGCCGCTTCGGATGCTGCTGCATCTGCAGCATCAACTTAATGACTCGCAATCCGTCCTGCACACACTCGCACAAGGCAGCAGGTAATGAAGCCTCTGCGGTGAATTGGCCAATAGAAAATACGTACGGGCGGCACTAATTAAAACCAAGCTCCCAACCAGGCCACCGGGTGACCTCCTGCCGAAGGAGGTAAACGGATATTGTTAATCGTTGACAACAGCATAACGGGAGGATGTGGGGCTGCGGCTTGTCAACTTGGCCCCCTGCTGCCCTGGCTGGCTGCGGGTGCATTAGGAAATCAAATGCAGCCACGGAAATATTGATAGCCACGCAATTTGTTGCAGTTGCAGTTGGAGTTGCACTTGCTGTTGCTGTTGCAATTCCAGTTGGTGCCCCAGAACTTTGGCAATTAAAGCTAATGGCCTAAGATCTTGTCTATTTGCAATTTTCCCGAGTGTTGCCATCCAAGTGAATATGTTACAAAGCACTGAAAGAATATATTTTAGCTTACGAATATTTTTTGAACTTCTGTGACTATTTTAAAGAAAGGTTTTTAGAATTTTTCTGGACTTTAAAAGATATTTTTATATTGCTTTTAGGATTTTTTAAAAGTTAGATAATTTTAGTAATCTAATTTTAATTTCCGTACATATATTTTCTTTAATATTTTTAGCACTTATTAACATTTTGGATTTAATGAAAATTAAAAAAAAAATACAAATATAATTCTTTCTTTAAAATATAATTATATTTTACTGAAAAAATTAAGACAGATTTAAGAGCAGACTAGAATTATTTTTTATTATTTCTTCCAGTGTGGCCCACTCTGGAAATTGACTCAAGTTGGCTCAATATTAACTTGACTTTGCCTCACTTCCGCCTCATTTCCCTCCCCCCTGTGGAACGCCATTAAGTGCACTCCATACAAACGCCATTGAGGAAGCTGTATGGAACCCGAAGGCGGTTTCGGTGCGGGCTCCGGGGGCAGGTCATATTTGTGTGAACATGTTTCATATTTGTAATCAAAATCCGATGCCCCCGACCGCGACCCTGCCACCAACCCAGCCTGTTCATCAATCGCCCCAAAAGAATGACGGACGTGGGGAGTGGCGGACACTTTCCGATGTCATCAGCGACAGCTGCGCTCGCGCTTTGATATTGAATTCTTGACATGATTGTTTTGCGGGGGAGCACAGCTTGTCCTGGAATTGATTGAGCCCTTGAAGGCCAGGAGGACCCTAACCCCAACCCCAGTTCTCAAACACAACCGAACTAAAACCACAAATAACTCAGGCAGGGATAATAAAGCAGGGATCCCCATCGATTCCACAGACGCCAGCCGCAAACCTATTTAATGGGCGTTTATTCTAAAATATGTCCTCTTATCGTGGCATAAACGAAATCTTTATGAATATTTTATTATTGCTTTAATAAAAAGAAAGGCAGACGAAGGAGCTCCCAACGATGGCTGTTCAGAAAACGCAATTTGTGTCAATAAATGTGGGAGCGTGTTAAGACTGTATAGGAGGGGAATAAAACAATGTCGGTTAAAATGTTAATAACTAGCTAAAAATAAATATATAAACATATGTATGTTGGCTTGAAAAAAAACTATATCTGTATTTTAAAAATCGGCTGGGAGTCTTTTCGAGAACTACCGATCTTAAATCTATGTCTTTTGGATACAATTTATATAAAGTTCTCAAAAGAAGCATTTATTCAAACATTAACAAAATCGTCTTTTTATTCGCTTTTACACTGAACCAAGTTGGACGTGGAGATCGAAGTGAGATGAGAATAGGATTTGATATAAAATTTTAGGTTTATTAATATAAAACTGCAACATTAATATTAAGTTAATATTGCAGGTATTGATAGACGGTAAATGGACGCAGGAAATAAAAATAATAAATTAACTATTTAAATGTGTGTTTTTAATTGTTTTTTTTTCATGGTCTACATATTTGGTTATTACTTATAACATTTTTAAAATTAACATTAAATGCTATGACTTAATCGTCATAAATAGATACTTAAGACTTTTTCATACTAAGAGTTATGATAACGTTAATAAAGCTTATTCGGTATTATCTCCGATAATTAAGTCACAATAGACCGATAAACGCTCGTATCTTTTAGTTCTTGCTTCATAATTCTTTTTGAATTAAATTATTTTTATATGTTTATGATTGTATGATTTAATATTCTGTACGTTTACCATTTCCATGTAATTTAAACGTATGTACATATAAAATTCCTACTAACTTATCCTAGACTGTACTTGAGTTGGAAGCTCATGTTCTTGTGCGCATAATATCCCAAGCTAGGGAGCGAGGGCATAATCGTCATAATCATTTTATGCGCATGTTATATAGCATACTTTTGTGAGCATAAATTTTTATTTAGGTCTTTGTCAACACAATGCTCCGAAAACGATTGAGTGGGCGACACCCACAATCTCTCACCCACTCCCCTGTCCCCTAACACTAACATATGCAAAATTAAAGTTCGATTTGAATAGCTGCTTGCCACACGAAGCCAAATTGGCGGTTTTCGTGGCGCCAAATGAGCTGCGGTGGGGCTGGCATGTATGAAATAAATTTTAGCTGCGGTCTCCTGCATCCCCGGCAATAATGCAAACAATTGATGTCAATATGATGAACAATAAACAGTAGAAATGCAAATGCATAGCAAATAAAATAATTCTTCGAATCGTAAAAATCATACAACTAAATATTTCTTATCGAGGGGGAAAATAAAATGAAATGGGTCTAGGGATTGTCATTAATGAAGTGAAACGAATTGGAAAACCAAATAATTCGCATTGATTTCTATGGTTTCAATTGCGTGTCACACTGAAAAAAAAATGAAATGCTATTGTTTAGAGATAAATAGCTCGAGATAAATAGATAAATGCACATTTTGATAGATGAATTGCAAATTTTTAAGGGGACAATAGCCCTTTAAAATATTAGAAATTATTGTTTTTCTCAGTACTTTTTTTGGGCACCGGAAAGGCCGCAGTTTGCGTTGATTTGGTGCAGCCGAATCCTGGCCAAATGCACGGGTCCATGGTCCATGGCCAATTGATTGGGCAAAGCCAATCTTCAATGAATAAATGAATAGTGTGCTTGGGTGTGCGGTGTGCGGGTGGGGGTCCGTCAGGTGCATTGCCGAGTGCACTTAATTGTGGCCCAGTACGCACAGTGCATCCTGACAAAAGGATTTTCAGGTTGCCCCTGTAGATGCGCCAGTGTCGGGGGCAAAAACTCCTCAAACGGATCGAAAGAGAGGAAAATGATTTAGCCAAAAATGGTTGGCAGTGGACCCATTTTTTTGGAGATGGCTCCATCCCCCTTGGTATCTGCTTCCCGTTGTGTTTTGGTTTGGTTCGTTTCGATTTGGTTGGCCGTCGGTTTTTGTGGTTAATTGAAATTTTTCATTTGAAGCGTTTTGTTGGTCGGTCCCGCCGCCTCGACGGCTTTAAATTCGTTTCGAATTGTATGTGTGTGTGTCGTAAGCCCCGGGCAATTCCCGGGAGAGTTCACGGGCTGCGCCAAAATATGCAATAAATTTCTAAAAAACACAAAAACAATCGAAATATGCAAAAAGTCTTCTCTTCCGCTGGATTATGTAATTGCGTATATAGTTAGCCCACGCAGGCCCATACATTTGTTATATTCATATAGATAACGGGGGGAAGGCACTGAGGCAGCTGGTCTATAAAATCGAATCGGAAAAACAATTATCAATATTTAATTCGCTAGTGGTTTTTGCGGTCGGACGAAATGCTAATGAAATATGGAAATCTGTTTAGGCCGAAAGTAATAACATTCCAGGACTGCACTTCTTTTCCCAATAAGCCAAGGCCTTACAAATGTAGGTCCTGCTTTCCAAATTAAATTCCTTTAATTAAAGTTATAATTTCCCAAACTAAATGGCCAAAAAAATGGCGCTATTTAGGGCATGAAAGGAACTTGTTTCAGTTTGCGATACATTTCCTTGGACTCGTTTCCTCCTCACCTGGTTCGCTGTTGCAGGATGTGTCCGGGCACCTTACCAACTTATCCTTATCGCCCCGGCCCTCACGCCCCGACATTGGTAATTTAGAGAAATTCTGGCCAAAAGGGAAGCACGAGTATTTTGTACTCGTTGCTTGTATTGCCTTTTCGATTTGCACTTTACACGCTTTCATTACACTTCGTTTCCGTAGCCCCCACCCCCCGCAGTCCGGGGGAGAGGAAAAATGGAAATACTTGACCCGAAACCGTTGCATTGTTAGCATTTAAACTGTTTCTTTGCCGTTGTGCTTCACTTGAACTGCTCACTGGAGAGATGCGCCAGCGGCCAGGATAATAGTGCCAAGGATGCGTCGTTCTCTGAATGGTTTTAATATTTTTCATCGTTATTGTGGGGCTTCTGAATAAAATATTATATTAGAATTCTTAGAATTCTTCATTTCTCTAAGATGCCTTTTCTTTTTAATATTTTACTGATAAGTGGGTACTATACATATACTATATTTACCTTTAAAGCACTTTTATTTCTACCCATTCCGTTGCCAAAGATTGAAAAGATGGGTCTGAAAGAAAAGTAAATGGGTGGCATTATCTAAATACCCAACAGAAACTATTTGCAGCTGCAGCCTCATAATCATCGACAGTCGAATCATTGCAAGGAGCACTCATCTTAACGTCACTGCAAATGATTGCCAGCCCCCTGCTGCTACAGCTTGGGCCACATCATCGGAAAACCCCTTCTGAAAAAGCCCTCCCCTTTTTGGCAGCAACCAACACACTGCCTTGACACTTTAAGCTGCAATTTCGTTAAAATATTTCCAATCGATTTCGTTGGTTTATCGCCAAGTTTATTTCCACTTTCTTGTTGTTTGCCAGTTGTTCTCCGGCTCCATGGCTTTTTTTCCAACTCAACATTTTCCTTTTCCACTCTGCCAGATCTTACGGAAATGAAATGTGTTTCTATTTTAGTTTCCCAAGCTCTTTTTTTCGTATGTGCATTTACACGCTCGAGTGTTTGCCTCAAACTCGACGATGAGGTTCGGCTTGCTCTCTGTCCCCCCAAACCAAAAAAAAAAATAATAAAAAAATGTTTGCTGGCTGCCACTTGAGTTTATTTACAAATCATGGAAAAGTTGCAATTTTCAGTGGTCCAAAAATGGCAAACACAAACACAAGCCAGCACCACAAGTCGGTGCAGGGGCGTGTCCTCGGCCAAATGGCAAATATTTGGCCCAAACTTTCGTGTCCCCATCAGCCTCGTGCCTCTTCTGTGGCAATCTGCATAATTGTGCGGCAACAAAATGTGATAGGTAACATTTTCCACCTAGCGAGTCGACACGCATCAGTGGCAAATGCGAAAATCAAGGACGACGGCTAATTTAGATGTGTGCGGGGGGCTAGATGTTCTAGTTAATTACCATGCAAATATTTACACATTCGCATGCATTGACAGAGGCATCTTGCAGACACACAACCGCACAGATACAAGGCATGTCGGATGCTTGTCAGATACCGTCAGATGTCACAAAGTGTTATCAAGCATACGCAGTGTGTGCCGGGCATTTGACGAGCTGTGCGTAATTGTTTCTGACTTGTCCGTCCAGTTCTCGGCAGGTGATGGGTTTGATTGCATAATTTTCCAAGGAATTGTCTGGCATTAACTGAATGGGCTAATTAAATGTATATTGCTTTATTTGTGTAAACAAATTACATAGGAAATCCCTGACTTGTAACTAATCTAATCCAAACTCTGGATGCTACTGTATGCAAGAGGTGGAATAATCCTCTTTTTGTTCCAGATTAAAAACGAAACTCTTCCTTAGTATTGCATGCCCTTTAACCCTTCGCATTCAGCCGCAATTATTGATCACAATACAATAAGCCCCCAGGCATGTCACAATGCTAACCAGTTCTGGCATCAGAATGAGCAAGTGAAAGTCGTGAAAGGGAAAACTCATTTGCAAGGCTTACTCCCCGCCGCCGCTGTTGCTGCTGGTGGCTGCCATAATGAAGTGGCACGATTTACGCCGGAGCCTTCATGTTGCCATTGTTTAGTTGGCTGGCGCAAGGACTTCAAGGACAATGCTGTCGCAGTTGCACAATGCCCTGCCCGGGCGCTTGTTGTTGTTTTGGGTTTCATTAATGCAGCGCCGAACGCTGATTGCCGCGCCCCATTCGCCGCTGTTATTATTACTATTTATATGTAAATGTAGGGACGACTGTGTGTGTTTGCATTTAGCCTTAAAGTGGAGGCAATTTAAAGTTCCCTTCTGTTTTTTCTGGGGCTTGTGTGGTAAGCACTTTTCATTAGCATGCAAGTGCAATTCGGGCTAGGCAAATTGGCCGACAGCAGGCACCAGATGAAAGCATAACACAAAACTCCAAGCCACAGACGGCTGAAGGAAAAGAATTTGAAACAAAAAAAACTTTGGCTAAAAATGCGCCACGCACTCACTCAAACAAACACATTCAGTCCTGGCTCTCAGTTTTTGGCCATGTGTTGCAGCTTGTGGGCCACATTGCGGCCGGTTTGATGGTCAGCCCGCCTGCGGTTCCCCCGATTCCCCTAGGCCCCAGCCACGCCCCGTAGTTGCGTGAACAAGGTGTGTAAATTCCATTTCTGCGGACAGACACGCACACAGACAGACGCATAAAATGCCCGCAAACGCACACGTACACGGACACGCAATCGCACAAATCTGCAAGTTTGTCTTGATTAGTGTTGCATACTTTGAGGAGAGAGTGAAATGGCCGAAAAGGATAATTTGGGTGGCTTAAAAAGCGGAATAAGAGCTTGTAGTTGGCATTTTTAAGTAATAAAATAGAATCATTGGCAGTGATGGTTTTCAAACTCACTAATAATACAAATAAACACGCTCATAAGCTACTACTCTCATTCACTTTATGGCTATCCCTCGGAGCATTTGTGAAGATAAACATTGTTTTATGGTTTTTTAATGCCATTGACTTTCGAATAACTCCAATGGGGGTGACTGTTTCAGCACTGACTTGGTGGATGCCGCACCGCTTGAGTGTTTAATTGCCCTTTAGTGCCGGTCCACAGTCACCCATCTGAATGTGTGTGTGTGTGGCTGGTCTTTTTCCACATCTTTTTTGCTGTTTTAGGGTGTTCCCAGCAGGTTGTCGAGGCAATAAAATCGCCGCCTGCTGGGCACTCAAATGACCAAAGCCGGGGACTAGGAGCCTTCTCCCTCATCCGCCTGGTGTAGCCCTGCTCGGGATGTCGTCGCCTCCGTCTGGTGCGGCTTGGCTCGCCAGGAGCAAATCCTTTAATCTGTCTTTCAATTTCAAATAACCCAATGGTTAAGCACTCGCCACACTCACAGATTCACCAGCTTCCGGCCCGTTGTTCTTGCCACCCCCTATGGGAGTCCGTTCGTCGCCCACTTGCCCCTTGTCCAGTTGGCAGAGCAATTGAATTGTTTCAATTGACACTTGGCCCTGCCTCGGCCCAGTTTCCCTCGACTGTTTTTGGAGCTTGGCCTTTCTTTTGGCGGCTTTGTTCGCATTCATAATGTGAGTCGGATGTCTGGCGCATTGTTTTCGCTAATTTGTAAACTTACTAATCGGCCAGCACTTGGGAATTCACTGTAAAAACTCTTGTCCTAATAATTTTTATCAAGGTAAAGCTTATATATAAATAATTTTAAATAATCAATGAAAAACTTATGGTTATAAGCATCTATTTGCTGAAAGTCATATGCTCTTCCGCCTGCCTATCTTCATAAACTATTTGCGAGTGGAACTTACATAGGTCAGGGCTTCCGCCTGAATAACCTATAGACCCTTTCTCCCTTTATTGGCCTGTTTGTTTACCGAATTATGCAAATAATCCACTGGGGCTGTGTACGTTTCATTAGTGTAATGTCTGGGCAAACAATGCCAGTTGGAATGATAGCAGGATCAGCCGGAGGTTTTCAATTACAGTTCGAGCTAAAATCAATTGGCCGTCCAGTCGAAGAGGAGTCATTAAGCGGCCATCGTATAAAAGCTGCCACTTGTGCGAGAATGGAAGTCAAAAGGCAGGCAAGATGTTGCTGCAACCTCTGGTGTTGCATTTAAGCCAATTGCTTCGGCTTATAGGTAACTAGATTTGGGTTTTCAAAATATCTTGGCCAGGCTAAACCAGACTTTGCCCTAGTTGGCCAATACTTTGCATCGTTCTCATCCATACTGATTGTGTACAATAATTCCGGGTCTGCAACTCGACTCCAACTGGATTATTTAAGTGCTTTAGAGTCGGCTCTCAGGGACTTTCCCCGACCTGTTCTGCTTCAGTGGATCAATGTGGCAAAATTAGAGGATATTTCGGATCTGGAGCAGCAGATTATGGGTGCTCTGAATTGTAGTGTCACTGAGGTAGGATGTTGTAGGTTTTATCCAATAAAAGTTTTGTAAAATATTTCAATAACAGGGCTTTATCACTATTTTGCCGCACACCAAGCCCTTTCTGCATGCTCGTTATTATGCCACTCGGAACTCCGTGGTGCGTCTCAAGGACAAGAGGTATCTGTTCCTGTGCGATGAGGAAAGCCCCGAGGACTTGTTGTCCATGGATATTCTGCAGTGTAAGTGGTGGATGTAGGGGTTAATAAAAGCATTACGGATCTGCCATTTCAATTGAGTGTTCCTGTCGTGCCTCACCCCATCGCGCCGACCCTTCGGAATCAATTTATTAGCTTAAGCGGTGACTTCTCGCCACCTCCCTGGGGTGTGGCAAAACAAGTCAAACTCGAAAAGTTCTCCAACTCGCACTCACACGAGAGTCTCCCACGTAAACATGGTTGGCCAACCGCCGCAGGACATTCGTGGCCAGTTGATCAAACTTTAGCACTGGCCAATAATTTCAACGCTCGACAGCGTCTTGTTCAATTGTAAACTTCCGAGTTCCCAGTTTTTTGCTGGCCTGGTATTTTTCTTTGTCTTTCACTTTTTATTTGCTTTGTTTTTGTTACTGGCTTGCTTACAGGGGCCTAATTTTGTTTTGGATTTGTTTAGAATACCCTCGGCTTCTTATTTTTAAAGTTTTATGAAATATAACGAGAAAAAACCATTTCAAAAAGATATAAATCTTTACAAATAAAACTTGTTATAAATAAGACCTATAACAGATTTCAATGATGCTTTCAAGCAGAAAATTTGAAAAATTTTTCAAATCGAAGATATTAAATTGGGATTTGGAATTTAAAAATTATTTTTCCCGGATCAATCGACTATATTATTGAAAAAAAAATGATAAGCTTAAAATGTTACCCATTTTTTCAAAGCAATTTTAAACAATAGGTACTTTTAATTCGAAATTTTTTACGTTTTCTAAGGCTATTGCCTCTTTGCCTTTTTTTCTGTGCTTGTCCGACAACGGGAAATCGTTGTAATGCGCTTTAGTCTACCCCCACCATCTGATGGTGCGACCGAGAACCGAAACTGACTCGCAACCAGAAGCAGGACCAAAAACAGGACCCCCAACCCCAGCCCCCGAGCGTAAAGAGGGCACATCGGTAAACACGAGAAACAAGGGACAAGACGGGGTGCCGCCGCCCCACCGCGACATCAATTTCGAGCTGTGGACACAAAAGTTTGTCGGTGCCTTTGGTAATTTGAATGCCGTGCGCCTGGACGCATTCTTGCCGAACGAAACTTTGGCCAAAACCGAGCGAGTCGAACTTTATCCCAACAAGCTGCTCAATCTGCAGGGCCGCAGCCTGCGCGTTGGCTCCATTACTTATGTCCCATATACTATTACTAATTATGTGGTAAGTAATTGCCGGTTAAGTTTATATTTATCGTTTGTTGTTGCCGCCCTCCTTGTTGATACACTTAGAGAGAGACGGTCGCAATAAAGGACATCATTTTATCTGAAATCCCAACTAGCTTTAAAATATTTAGTATTTTATCTAAATTTTTTATTAAAAAATTAACTTAAATCAACACACTTAATATAAAATCATCTAAAAAACATATGCAAAATATTTTTGTTTTCGTGCATGTGGCTTTTGGGCAGCCAGCTTTACACAAATGCCAGAGATTTGCACGCCAACATTAAGCAAAGCCAATTGGTCGTCCTTGTGATATCCTGCCCGCCCCCAGCCCCCCACCTGCCCCTGACCCTCATCCTCTTCCCCACTCCCCACGCAAAGGACTCCTCATCTTCACCAGGCTCGTTCACATCGTTGTCTTTGCATTAGTCGAGTTCAGTGTGCGAACTCATCGTGAATAAATGTCCAGTGGTTACTATTTTGGCCCGCACCCATACATGTGTTTGTGTGGGTGCTTTTGCGCTTGTATCTGTGTGTGTTTTGGTTATTTTGGATTGTTGTCTCTGTGGCAACTAAAGTGTAAGCACATGTTATAGTTTCAGAGTCCATAGTTTGGGGTGTGTTGGCCATTACTGATCTTCCTTAGTTGTTACTTCATAAAATAGTAACTTATTATAAAACTATATGAATATTATAATATTCAATCTCGCTTTAGTCTCAAATATTTCAAGCCGATAAAAACCTGTTTTGGCCCACTGTACCCAAAAAAGTTTCCCGAAAAAAACAATTTTTTTATTGTCATTTGGCAAAAAGTTTTGTTCGCACTCCATTGTTTGCCTTAAGGACATTTGCACATTTGTAAACACACGCACGCATCCGCCCACCGGCACGCCCACCCGAAACACTAACACAAACACCAAAACCAACACCAACACCGGGGCCAGCTCACTTACACTCTCACAGAAGGGCCAACAGCCACAAGCATGTGCATGTGGTTTTGTTTGGGGCCTGGCTTTGGATCCGGCACAGCACCAACATTGATTTAAATTACGTGTTTCCATTTAATTGCTGCCCGACGAGCCAAGTGTCGATGTCCATTTGAATGTAACTTCGGGGCTCCAAATGCCCCAAATGCCGCATATTCACATGTGTGTGCTTTGTTTTGTGGGGTGGCTGGCCAAAACAAGGCCATTAACGAAATTAGCCCAGACACTTCATTGACCCGCAATAGTTAGTCATTAAACGAATACCCCATCTGCATCGCTTCAGCCAGCTGGGCAGGGCGACGTGGATCCCATAAATCTGCACAGGGGCAGGCTCTCGATCGCCTTCGACGGGGCCGAGGCCAATGTGATGAAGACCTTCTGCCAGGTGCACAACTGCCATTTGAGGATGGAGGCCTGTGAGCTACCATGTTCTTCTGAATATTTTCTATCTATTTATTGTATTTTTATCTCAGATGGCGCTGATAACTGGGGAGGCATTTACGAGAACGAGTCGAGCGACGGCATGCTGGGCGACATCTACGAGCAGCGCGTGGAACTGGCCATTGGCTGCATCTACAATTGGTACAACGGCATCACAGAGACCTCTCACACCATTGCCCGTTCCTCGGTGACCCTTCTGGGACCTGCCCCAGCGTAAGCAGACTTAGAGTTCTCACTCTATTTTTTTATATTCAAAGACCCGTACTTCACAGACCCTTGCCAAGTTGGCGGACTAACATCTTGCCCTATAACGACTACACTTGGTTACTGCTGATATCAACCATGCTAATGTGTGGCGTGTTCCTATATTTTATGAAATATGTTAGTTATATTTTGGGGTTGAAAGGCAATGGATCGGTTTTTCATCATGGCAGTAATCTGGAGAAGTCGTTGCTGGATACTTTTGCGCTTTTCATACAACAGCCATCGGCTCCTTTAGAGTAATTTTTCAATACCTGCATATTAAGAATGTATTGATACCATGTATCCCCTTTAGCTTCAATCGGTTTGCTCCCAGATTCTTTCTGGCCACTCTCCTCTGTGCCACCATAACTTTGGAAAACATTTACAGTGGCCAGTTAAAGTCCATGCTGACCATTCCCTTTTACAGCGCCCCGGTGGACACCATTGAGAAATTTGCTCTGGCCCAGTGGAAGTGGGCGGCCCCTTCTATTATTTGGGTGCACACGATTCAGAGCTCCGATTTGGTAACCGAACAGGTCCTATCCAATAATTTTGAAGTCCACGATTATAGTTACCTGTCCAATGCTAGCTATATGCCGAACTATGGGCTCGGCATCGAGCGTTTGTCTTCAGGATCCCTTTCCGTGGGTGATTATGTCGCCACTGATGCTCTGGAAAATAGAATTGTAAGATTTATACACAATTTGAAGCATATTATATTCAAACTATAATCGAAGGTGCTGCGGGATGATTTATATTTCGACTACACCCGAGCCGTTTCCATACGAGGTTGGGTTTTAATGCCGGAGCTGGATAAGCACATCCTTACTTGCCAGGAAACGGGACTGTATGTTCACTGGGAACTTGAGGTAGCTTTCAAGAAAATAATATTTGTGTTCTTCAAATACTTGTTTATTTTCATTGCAGTTCATAGTCAAGTATATGGACAAGAAGAAACAGGAAGTTCTAATGGATTTGGCCAACGGCCACAAGGCCAAAGGCGCTCCCCAGGCTTTGGATGTCCATAATATTGCCGGAGCTCTGTTTGTTCTGGCTTTTGGCTTCACTTTTGCGGGCTGTGCCCTGATGGCGGAGAATGTGATCTATAGGCTTGGAAAGAGCAAATAATTTGACCATCGAAATGAACCACTTCATCCGTGGCGTCCGTGAGCACGTGTCGCAGCAAACATCAAAATCGCATGCTGCAGGACACGCAGAAGCCACCAAAACCCCACGTAACTGGGATGCATTGAGAAAAATATTTTGTTTTTTAAGTGAATAAGCTTTTAGTGAACAACCTTTAGTGAATAACCAGTGAATGGATTATCCTTAAAATTGTAGTTATTCAAATTTCTGTTAAAGTTTATTTCAGACTGAATTAGGATTCAAGGCCTCACAAAAAAGCCAGCTTTGTAGTTGTTATTGCTGCTTCTTGGCCAAAACTGTTGCAAATCGAATCGTTTCATTTCTCGTTCTGGCTGTGTGATGGCAGTTCCCACGACAGAAATTTGACAGCAGTTTTGCCAGCCTGGAATCGACCGCTGGCATTGTTGGCCTGGGATGGATAAGCGTCACGGCCGAGTGAGCAACTGAAAAGTGAAAAGTGAACCCATATATCCCATGTCGCCTCTTCTACCACTGCCTTGCCATCTACTCGGCCCCCAGGACCCAACATTTTGCGGCTCTATCTGCTGCACTTGCCACGGAAGTGCGGGCGGGTCGGGGGCTTGTGGATATGCAAGCGGAAAATGACTTCTGCCCGGTGTGTTGCGGTAATTGGAAAAGCGTTTAGTGTTAGGCGAACGCAATTTCGTCGTTGGCAACATTTTTAATGATGCCCCTTAATTATCGCTGTGGGAAATTATTCATTATCACTAATTTGCCGCAGCCCAGGCCACTTATACGCATACATAGGATGGGTTTCTATGGGCCTGCCAGCGTTCTTGCCTGCCCGCTTCAGGTTGCAGGAGGAAAGTCCTCTCCTAAGCGATTTCTTATCCATTTTCACTTGGTCCCCATCTTCTACCTCTTCCGCCACACCACTTGGTCTGCTCGTAACCAGTCCGTTTCGGAGCGACAAATAAACTAACCAAGAAAACAGAAATCTATTTCAACCTTATTTCATCATTCTAAGTCGAGTAATGAGGGAATTCTGTTTGACTATCCGTTTCTTTTGGACTTCAGATTATATAATACAAATCGTTAGATAATTATTGTTTTCTTTTATAATAAGATTTGTTTTTGATCAATAAATAATCAATAGTTGATGAGTACTTGGTAAGGCACAAAACGCTAAGGGTCTTACTCCAATGAATTCTGAATCAAAACTTATTTAATTCAATATAAATCTCATGTTAAAACAACTTATAAGCTAGTCCAACGCATTGGACTCTGGTCTGATATGTGACCCATTAGTGCCATTAAATTACATTTCTACAATAAGTGCCGCTCTATAAGTCTATAAGTCACCAATCTTTTCTGATGATTTCCAAAAAGTCCTTACCAACTACACAGAGGTTGTTAAATAATAATTATAAAAAACAGGAAAGAATTGTTAACTTCGGGTGGAGGCGAAATTGATATACCCTTGCAGCTAAGGTATCGCAAATATTTGGTTAATCATTATGAAATAAGGTAAAACGGATAAATGGGCCAATAATAGATGATGAATATATATACTTTATGGAGTCGGAGATGGCTTCTTCTCTATGTTACCTTTGTAGATTCACACGATAACACGGGTTAAGAAGTACAACAGTGCGTATGATCAGTTAAATAATATTTATATGCACTATTTTCATGTTTTGTTTAGTTTTCATTATATGCTTTGTTTTACAAAAAGCTAAAAAAAACATTTCTAAAAGGATTATCAAAACTAACAAATAAATCCGTTGCATTAGGCGTGTTAAACCAAACTGTATGGTGTTGTAAGGTATGAAAAGTTTCGCCAGAGCAACTATTTTTTATTTTGATTTTTCTGGTGGAAGCTTTTTTGCATACTTCCGCTCTTGCGTTTGGAATTTTTAAGTGAGTGCCCTCAACTTTGTTTGCTGGTGTTTGCTGGTTTCTGCTGCTGCTGTGATTGTTGCTGATTTGCGGTGGCTAATGTAGCTGTTTGTTTCCGTTTGTTAGCTGCCACTTGTCCTTGTGGCTGCTGGTGTTGCCAAAGTGCCTTGGACTTTTGCGACTCTGCAGGCCTCCGAAATGGGAAAATAGTTACCGGCCTGGCAAAAGTTTTCAAAGCATGCCTAATAATCGCACGTCAAAGGGTTCAATATGCGGAAGACGACTGATGGAAAGTTTGGGTTCCTGACATTCTTGAGCATCTATAGGAAGCCGAAAGTTGGGTTCATAACTTTTGCATTTGCACTTAATTAAAAGACTGGCAGGAAAATGGAATATTTTTCACATGCAATCAGCGCAACCTGCACCGCCTCAGATTTTAACTTAATTTATGGCCAGCAGCCAACGGGCGATAATTGAAATTATATGAAAGGGGAGCGGATCCGGCAAACTCCTTTTGCTGCTTTCGCTGCTGTAAATAAAATAAATCTGTGCGAGGCGTTGTCGCCGGGCGTTGAAATTTACGCGCACCGATAAAAGTGCCGGACGGATAGAAGCATTACGGCGGAGTGGGGGCAGCTGGGGCGCAAGCAGATTGGCACGTGCAACTGCAGCCAGACGACAGCACCGATAAAATATGAGCTCGATCCGGAGTTTTTGGTGGGTATCTTCGTGGCACTGGATTTTCGGAGGTCGCAGGTCGGAGGTCTAAGAGGCTGAGGCCTTTAAATTGAATTAGCCAGGGCAGGCGAGATTCCCATGAATTTTTAATGTCCTGGCATTCGAATCGATCCAATTAGAAATTCTGAATATTTTTTCTTTTTGTTCTGCATAATTGCTTGTGTTTTTGCCACTTTGTCGTTTTGAAGACGTTGCCTCAACAACGGCTTTTATCAAGGACATGGGCGTAGTCAGGGCAGATAGCTAGGGTTTTTCAATATAAAAATCAGGCCGCATATGAATTTGATACATGTGATTTATTTATTCAAAGTCAGGATATAAGATACATTTTGTATCTGAATAAAATCTATTTTATAGACTGATAGCCATACGCCCGTGTGGCCAGGCTCATTATCAACTCAGACATTTCCCCACCGTCTTACGCCCTTTTTGCGACAATTTTTCCAAGATGCCGGCAAATTTATCGCTCATAATTATTTCATTTTACAGTCTGCTGAAGTTCCCAGGCAAACGACCTGGCTCGAAACGGGACGAAACATTCGCGCCTTGTCTTGTGAGTCCTTTGACGGTGCTTTTAAATTTTCGTACCACTTGTTTGTTTTCGCCCGCCTTTTGCGTCGGAGTCCCTTTTAATATTTTACGAGGTGTTTGCGATTGGCTTCCCCATCAAACTTTTGGCTTAGTCTAATGCTGCTTAAAAGGCATTACTAAAATGCACTAGCTCTGAGCCCGAGTCGCTGGCACAGTTTCCAGTTGCTACAAGCCGCTATTGTTCTTCGGCCCGGCCCCTGAAGGAAGTGTAGACGGGGGAGGCTGCGGGCGGGAGACGGCGCCAATCAACACACATGACTACGCGGCAGGTGGCTGGGAGTTGCCTCTGCGACGGTTGCATTAGCATAATAAAACAACATGGGGGAAAGTTTAACTTGTGGCGAGTCCAAAAGAATGCAACTATTGTGCTACCCTGTAATGCTCGGAAGGTACATTTGTACATGTATGTATTATTAGTATATTGCATAGGGTAGCATTGTATGCAATAGTGTTAGTTCAGTGGGTTTTTTTTAACTTTATTTTGGATAAGGATTTGGATAAACAAAGCTCTTCAAGTTCTGGCAAGTCCTTTTCAAAATACAGGGTGCTTCATGCACAAATACCAAAAACCCACAAAAGTGCAGAGCTGCTTTGGCAGGCTTTACAAGCGATGCAACAACAACAACAACAAAAACAAGAATAATAACAAGGAGAGCATCAACAATGCAAAAAAAAACAGCAACAACAAAGGTAAGCGGAATACAGTCGAGGGAACAATTAAGCAAACATGTATTTGTGCACATGCTAGGGGGCTAGTGCGTGGGGGCTTAGGGGAGAGTGTGTGCATGCGTTGCGGGAATTTGGGTAAATTGTTTTGCACTTAGCTAAAAAGTTGGCGTGCCAAATAAATACAGGGCACGAAATCGGCTTAGGCTGTTATCTTCCATGTTGTTTCACTTAGCTGCGTTTTCGGGGCGCATCTATGTAGATCCGGATCCGAGTCGGGGGCCATTAATCACCAACAGCAGCTTACACGAAAGCGAGTGAGTGCATGAGAGGGACAGACCTATAGACACTTGTGTAATTGAGGAATTACAGTTTGAATGGCAGGTTCTCTCTCCTACGGCTTAAGCTAGTCATCTCCTTTCTTATCTCCTCCTTCCCTCTCTATTGCATTGACGAGTGACAACAGCCGCAGACAAAGTCAAAGCTAAGAAAAGCAACAACTGAGCTGGGGAGCCCAGAGGCTTGGAATTATTGGAAACCGGGGTTTTTATATCCTTAAGATATTTGATATTTTGCAAATCAATAATTTAACTACTCTCCGGTATAACCGAATAAACTTCACAGTTCTTCCCGATTGAAACCCCCCGACATTACGCCACTGCTTAGGAAATAACAGAACTCTAAGTGGGCTCAGGCTGGTCTATCGAAATCTGCCTGGCACAAGACAAATTGCACTTCGGCCGGGATCTATGGCTCCAAAATGAAACAGAGACCCTCTCAAAGTCTGGTATTTTTTCAAAAAGAGTTCAAAGTCGGGCCCAGAGTGGGGGAGTTTCCAGGACTGAAGCATAAAGGCAAGCCGTGTCGATATCCTGCTGACGTTTCACATTCAAATGCGCCAGGAATACAAAAAAAAGAGCTTAAAACTCAAGACGAATTTTATTTACTCTAGCTTTGAACTTTTTTGTTATTTTGGTTAGAGTGTAGTTCACATTAAGAGCAGGTATTGCAGTAATATTACTTTGTAGTCCTTATTAAATAATAATTTAAAGCTTGCTCCAGTGTATGCAAGTCCTACTCTAAGTAATACGATTAAGTACTTATCGTAATTCTTATCGCTAATATACCCCTTTGGGAAGTGCATTAACAACTGAATTTGGATTGTAAGAGAACAAACAGGCGGCTGGAACTGAAACTGAGCACTCTGGAGTAGACCAAGTCACATGGCCCGGCATATAAATTTTGCGGTCGCCGGCCATAAATCAGCGTTTGGCTGTCACCCATTTTGCCAGTGTAAATCTCAGGCCGTTCCGCTCCTCCGCCAAAGGCTGCTCTCTTTAACTGGTCAT